CCCTCGTATCCCTGCGTCAGTGTGTGGACTAAGGTCTTGAACTTGTCGCTGCCGGCAGCTCGCAAAGAGATTGCACCTTGGATAACAAAATCAACCACCGCGTTCTAAAACTTTACCAGGAGGCGATCCGGGATTGCTGGCCAGCTCAGCGTTTGCTGCATTCGGCGATTCGCCGACGCCCCGACCTCGCTGCCTGGGGCGAGCACGTTGTGCTTCTTGAGGTGGGCTTTCCACCCTGTGTTCGTGTGGGAGGAAAACCACTTGCGGCAGTGCACACACTGCCACTTTCCTTGCTGCCCACGGGAACGCATGCCGCTGCCTCTTTCTATTGCTGTTCACAGCGACCCCTGAAATGCCGTTGCTGGCATCCTCGACCTCATCCTCTACCTCAAGAACGTGGTCCGTCTCCATCTGGTCCGACATCAACGATTCCAATTTCAAATGGAGGCCACGGACTGCGCCATGGAACTATTAGCGAGCGGTAAACAGGGTATTTACCGGGAAATACCTTTACCCTACCGGGTAATTCTCCCGCGATACCTTTACCCACCCTTTACCTTACCCCTTGGCAAGGTCAACACCTTTCCCCTTTTACCCGGTAAAAAGGATAAATGACCTTACCTTGCCGAGGCCTAGGCCCAACGCTCCCGCTCTCTAGCGCCCCTCTCGCCCTGCGCCCAAGTCTCGCTCTCTTTCGTTCCTTCTCCCCCCTTCTCGCTCCCCTTCACTGGAGCCAACTCCCTCCCCCCTGCGGCACGCAAGAGCCAAACGTCTTCGCGAAAGCAACCTGCAGCTTGTTGTTCGCTTGAAACACCCCCCTATCTATTCTCCCGAGCCAATCCTGCTACTTTCTACCCCTGGCACCGAGTTACGACCAGGCCAACTCCTTATCACTACCCCTAATTTTATCACTACTCTTATCAATACCCCTACTGCAACCCTTATCACTAACCCCAATCCTTATCACTACCCCTATCACTACCCCAAACCCTCCTTAACCACTCCCCCACCTGTTCTCCCGTCACAATTACACCACCCCTTTTAATAACCCCACTCATTTAACTGAACCGCTATCATCTTATGTACGATATTACAATTGTTGTAAAGTGCCTTTTGACTGAGGCACCACATAAAAGTCTGTATAAGATAAATGCCGGGAGGAAGCATTGCCCATGTTGCTGTTTTTTCAGTCGACAAAAATAAATCTCCAAAATCCACACTGCGGAAAACAGGAGTGCGCGGCAGCGAGTAAGCGTGTTTGTAACATATTTATTATAACTTATAAAGCAGGCCGATTAGAAATAACTTGAAGACAGAACAGCCACCAAGAAGGCGGCTTGCATGACTGCGAGCACGCGTCGTCCGCTTGCTTTGAAAGAGAAAAATAAAATGATAATCACATGACCGAGTTCTAAAATGCGCTCGCTTACAAACAGGAGTAACTTATCCAGACATTATAATAAAACATTTTGCTTCTAACGATAATGCGGAAAACTTTTTGATTACTTATCTTAAAATGATTTAAGCCAAAACGCAACCTGTGGCATTTTACACGTAATTCTATAGATACTGATGAGGAACAGTTATCAACCAATGGAAAACGCACATTAACCAAACGCATGGCGATGTGTTTACTATAAAACAAATGCAACCCCGTGGCATCACAGTCATTGTAAGTCCACACGCCAAACAACAAAGCAGTAGGATGCACTCTAAATGTAAGCGTCTCTCTTTCATTTGAACCGGGCACCTCTCAACTTTCTAAACCCGAGACCCACTTAGACGCGCCTGGAAATCTTGTGATTCAGTCGGGGAGTCATCAAGTCACATGCCACGGCCATGACACTTGAGCACAAGAAATAATTCTGGGTCAATTGAACTTTTTTTTCTCGTCTATCCAATGCACCACACGTTCAATTTAATTCCTCCTCACAATGAGTCATGACCCCACCACTGCCCGTTAAACGCGCAAACTATAAATGGACCCCCCCCCCCGTTTAAAAAAATAAACTCACTATGTTCATCATTTAACGCTGCCTTAAAAATGTTTAAAACATAAATTGGACATGTTGGGCAGTGCCTCTTCATTTTTATGTGGGTGGTTGAAACGTTCTTTAGTTGAGGCAGTAACCATGGCAAACGCGGGACATACTTTTTTTATATATAAAAAAGTCCCGCGTTTGTGCACCAATAGCACCGCAGTTGCTTGTTTTTTGCCGTCTTGAGTTTTTTTAAATCAATGCTTGTTTGGCATTTTTGTAAGAATTTAATAAATGTATGCGACATTTTCATTTCGCATACGACAAACCAAGATCCCCCAAAACTCAACATAGGATGGTTCTCATCTGCATCAGCAGTCAGGAGTCGGTGGCTGAAATTCCACATTTCTATCGTGGGTAACCCAGTCTGAAAGTTATTCTACATTTCTCACATAAAAGCCACCGCTGCTCAATGTTTTCATCAATATCGAAGTAGTGATGACGATAATGACAGGGGTCAATTTCACCTCTCGATCTTGATTTGAACTCGCCACCTTTACAACTGAGGGCTGAACGCTTGGATCAGGGGAATGCCCACAACCGCCGCAGATATTGACCCCACGACCTTGGAACACGCGAGACTCGAACCGGCGGAGGGAGAAACGCTCCCATACAAATCACGGCGCACGCTCACGCGCGCCGCGCCCCGCTCGCGAGAATTTAGCTCACAAATCCCCAAACGGCAACGGTAATAAATTACACAAGAAACAATCATAAAATTCTTATTTATGAATGTTAACGCTTACAAATGAAAAGAGTAAAAGGCTAAAAAACGATGCAGTAGTACTCGGAAAAAACCCATCCGGATTGCCGCTGCCGCCGCCACCAATCTCCCGACCCCTTCCAACGCCTTGGCGATTCTCCTGGGATGCGAGGGAGGGGCGGGGGTGGGCCTGTGCCCCGCTTGTGTGCCCCCCATTCAGAGGCAACCCCTCAGGGTGTTTTGGAAGGCACTCAGCCAATACCGTTGATGCCACCATCACTTCTGTTCCTTCTGCCAGATCCCACAGCAGTTTGCATTTGACCTCCAAGTACTGCTCTTAGTATCATCCAATTCATCTATTTTTTTCACTGAGTGGAGGAGTCGATATATAAGGTGCCCGCCCCCCACCCCCATGGTGTTCCATGTTCATCGTATCCTAAAATCAAACACTGCTCCCACGCTGGAATCATAACATATTTGCTTATTAAACTCTCCATCGCTTACCGGTACCGCATTCCTCATGAATTTCTTACGAGATCTTTATATGCCGACAGCAATGACCACGACCATCGGTAACACAAATCCCAATCGGCGGAACCTGCCCACTTCGAACACATGCCACAGCAGTCACGCCGTTGATTATACAAACCCTCGCTAATAAACACATTTAAATCTTGACTTAAAGCTTTCATGACTGCTGGAATTCATGTTCTTTGAGTCTTTTGGTAAAGTCACGCGGATCGATCGTCATCAGGAGGAAAAAAAAAGGGGGAAAGCTGCTGAGTCTGCCTCAGCAGCTTCCTCCTGATGACGATCGCTTGCATTGTGATCAAAACGTCATGGTTTTTGTTCATTTTATTTTTTATTAATATGAACCTATCTTAGTGACTTTACCGAAAAACCCAAAGAATATAAACACATTGAAGTAATTAAACCAGCAGCCTAAGTCTTTGCGATTTATTTTGCAGGAGGGTCTTGCATTTGGATGCTCGGCAAACTGCTTTGCGTGCAATTTGCATCGCGATGAGGAAAACTAAAAAAACATGGAGTGCTCCTAGAAAACCCACGCACACAAAGCGGGGGGGGGGGGGGATAATATAGCACTCAAAAACCCATACGTATAAACTTAACCGCTACCAACTTGCACTACACTCTCACCCAGTGTCTGTCCCATAGCTCCAGAGATTGAGGACTCTCTCACGATGAGCTCCATGTGCTTGAAAAACGATTACGTACCACGATAGGCGCGGCTCGGGGCGAGACAGTCGCCGAGTTTCCATGGCACATTTGGAACCGGGCTGGCTCTGAGCTCGCACCGGGATGGGCCACCACATCCCCCATAGCAACCTGGAGTTAGCTGCAACCAATCCCATCGAGGTCCTACAGCCAGGTGTTCCGGATACCTTAACTCTTTCCCGTTCCGCTGATGTACGTGTACATCATCGATTTTTATTCCGATAACGTTTGAATGAGGTACGTCATCGGAACGGAACCAGAAGCAAAAATAACTTTACTGGTAACTTTACTGCCAGAAGGCGTGCCACAGTTTGGCACCAGCTATCGTAGAGTGTGGTCGTGTCACTATAGTTCTCTGCTGTAAGCACAATGTATTTAAAAACAGTGGCGCTACACCTCTCAAAATAAATTTCACTCGGATAGCTAATGCATGCCGAGATTCAGTGGTCAACGGGACCCACCGTGTAACTCGCCGTCGTCTCGGAACACAAAAGGGGTTCAATAAAAATAGCTGCGCTCGCAGCAGGCTGCCCGACGAACCCTGACCCAGCTGCGATGTCACGGGGTCACTGGCAAAGTGAGATGCGCTTCGATAAATCTCTCGCCAAGTTTTAACATCCTCGGCCGCGTTCGCATTTAAACCTCCCCGTCCAAACGTCACTTCATAAATTGTAAGTTGGGAAAAAAGGCCAAAATGAATAGTTCGAGTTTTCTGGGAACGCCCGAGTGGACGATGTTCTGGACCTCGATTGTGGATGTAGCTGTGAAAAGCTGTGGCTTGCCATTGCAGTAACCCCAGGACTCGCTGGTGGACACCTGAGGGAAGCTGTCAAAAGTTGAAGGTTTTCCCTGTCGCCAGACCTACTCATCATGCTGCCACAACCCTTACCAGGACAAGAGGATTGAGAAACGAACGAACAAAAAAACCTATCTTGACAAACGTCGACGTTTAAGCTCCGATAAAAGCCTTGTACATTTTTTTGGAACCATCACTTTCCAACCACGACCGTACGATTTTGATGTTAACTCGAGGCCACGCTCGGTACTCATTGCAACGCTGAGTCGACTTGGGGGAGGCCCATGACTAGTTCAAATATTTTCCACTTGTTATTGGTTGCGAGTGGGAATTTAACGGGTTCATAGCGCAGTGCGCAAACTACTACGCTACCGCTCCCCACATACACACACACTCGTACATACACACATTGACAAGCATACATACAAACGTGCAATGCACACAAATAGTTACACGAAAAATTATGCACACCCATAAAACAGACAATCCCCACCTCCATAGACTCTACATAGACTGTTAGGGCAAGTGTTGTTAGCAAGCACCATTTAAGGCCAAACACGAAATTCAGTGGGTGTGGCCAGTTCTTTGCCTGGCCACCTTTGTCTCCCCCATGCTGATGTTTACCCACTGTGCCAGGTACACACTTAAGGCCGAGTCAGCCTACGAGAGGCTCAGAACCGGTTCAGATGTCACTCCCTACTGATGTTAGCCAAGGCCGGGAATCGAACTTAGGTCGCCTGGGTTCATAGCGTGGCGCGCTAACCACTGCCCCACCGCTCTCCCCCAACAAGTGTGAAAACTCAAATACACACGGACACGTGTTACCAAGCAGAGCAGCACTCCTTACCCCATCCCATCGTGTCACTTCTACCCTGGCGTCAAGCCCGCTGCATTGACCACGAGGTCAATGGTGCGAGGCTCGCCGTTCGTCCGTTTAGTTCTCCTGCGCGCTATCTGTTCGTCTGTCTACCCATTTCTCCATCTGTCCGTCTGTCTGCCCATAGTTCCATCCGCCCGTGTATCTGTGCATTCTTCACCTACCCATCCGCCTGCCCATCTGCATGTCTGCCCATTAACCTATTTATCCGTGTCGGTCCACATGCAACCAGGCGTCTTATCTTTCCTTTGCACAATCTGTATATCCATCTGTCTGCTTATATTTCTCTTGTCCATCTCTGTATCTGTCTATCAACTTTGTAGTCTGTCCGTCAGTCTATTTGTCTGCCCATGCATATGTCCATCTGTTCGTCAGCGGTGTCTGTCCCTCCATTCCACCATCTGCCTGTTCATCTTTCTACCCATGTATTTGTCCTGCCATCCATTCACCTACCCATCCATTTGGCTGTTCATCATTCTGCCTATGTGCTCATCTGCTCCTCCATCAGTCTGTCGGTCCGTCAGTCCGCCCGCACAACTCTTGTCGCTTCTCCACTCAACCCTCCCCCGCTTCATCCCTCCTCCCCTCAAGTACGGAGACGATTCCCGAACTTCTCTCCGTTTAAAGCGGCCGGCTCGATCGGGCGCCGGCGTCACCGTCACGTGAGCTGCAGCCCCGGCGGCACTGGCTCCACCGTCACCCCGCTGCCGCCGCCGCCAACGCCGCCGCCGCCACCGCCGCTGTGCCGGTGGTGCCGCACCGTACGCTTGTGCCGCTCCAGGATCCACGCCTGCGAGAAGCGGCGCCCGCAGTCGGCGCAGGCGAAGGGCCGCTCGCCCGTGTGGGAGCGCGCGTGACGCGCCAGCAGCCACGCCTGCGTGTAGCGCTTGCCGCACATGTCGCAGTGGAAAGGTCGCTCGGCGCTGTGCTCGCGCCGCTGGTGCACGCGACGAAGCGTGGCGCTCGCGAAGCACCGCCCGCACTCCACGCACACGAACGACGTGCGTGCCGCCGCCGGACCTCCCGCCACCGGCGGGGGCTGCGTCACCGATCCCGAATCCTGAGCGCCGCCACCGCCGCCCAGCCCGTCCTGCCGGCGCGGCGGCGCTTTTGGCAACGGCTGGCAAGCGCCGCCGTTCAGCCCCGACGATGAAGGGGGCGGGGCGGCACCGTCCATCTGGCCGCAGCCGAGGCTGTAGATGGACGGCTTGGGTGGCAGGAGCGCCGCCTCGGTGCAGAAGCCGACCACGTTTATGGGGTGGAAGGCGTACGCCTCGTCCGGGAAACAGTTCCTCGTGAAGACGCTGCTGACGCCGCCGATGCCACCGACATTACCGCGTTTGTCACCTGTGGTGGTCGGGAGGGGGGGGGGGGCAGAGGGAGGGGAGGAGAGAGCCTTTTTTTCTTAACAAGTGAATACCCAGTCAATAGTGTGCGTAACACCGCCCGTCGCATGGTTCGCATGTTGGCTGTGCGCGCATTTCCAACGGCGGTGCTTTCGAGAACCCGTGTCCACGGTTACATTTAGAATGCATCCTCTTTCTGTAACGAACGCGACGAGCACCCGAAAATCAAAACCTCGCGCAAAACATCGCCAAAACCGGGCTCGCACGCCACGTCTTCACAACAAGGAGAGAACGACGCGCCGCTTGTCCACGTGCCGATCGGAGATGGGTACCATGTCACACACTTAGAAATTATGCCGCCACCCCGGCCTGACACTGGGCTCACTCCATCTGGAAGTGCGTTATCACTCGAAGGGACATCACGGGAAGTGGCATCTGCTTTCAGTAGGTGCGATGGCGCGCGGCTTCGGGTAATAATGAGTGGGTCGTCGGCACCAACAGGCGACACTTTGCACAAATTCACATTGTGTCTCTTTGCATCACTGTAAAACTCAAAATTTCGGACCTGGCTTGGCTTAACATGTCCTTGTTCAGTAACACATCAGAATAGAGGTAAGAAAGACCACTGCCTGTGACATCGTTTCCTGCGACGTGACTTCACACAACATCACTTCCTGATCGAACGTGCACGCAGGCACGCGGCCGGGGGAATCGTGGCGCCTTCATGACAGCCTGATGCTCTAAAGAATGGCCCCAATACCAAATGTACCAACTATCGTCATTAGTATCGTCGTCGTCGTCATCATCATCATCATCACCGTGACAGGAACAACACCGACCGGCGCGTCCACAACAACCAAGCTGCAACCGCTCCGCCGCGGTCAGAACAGCGCCACCCACGGCTGCACGGGAGCGGTGGCGGTGACCCGGCCCAGCGCGTGTGCCAGCGAGCGCCGATGCCGCGCCAGGCTGCCCGACTGCGAGAAGCGCACGCCGCAGGGCGCGCAAACGAAGGGCCTCTCGCCCGTATGCGTGCGCGCGTGACGCCGCAGGTCCGACGTCTGCGCAAAGCCCCTGCCGCAGTCGGCGCAAGCGTGGAGGAGGGGGGGGGCGGTAGCGGTGGCCTCCGACCCCCTGTGCGGCGCGGATAAACCGCCCGTCACCTGTCTGCACCAGCTCCGTGCCGGGTGGCGGGGCATCGCTGGCGCCGTGGATCGCCCCCGCGTCCTCGCCCGGGCCGAGGGGGTGGTACGACGCCGCTGCCGCCGTCGCTGCCGCGTGCTCGTGATGGTGGTGGTGATGCACGTGCCCGTACGGACCCTCGCCGCTCCTCGCGAGCAGTCGGGATGGCTCGGCCGAGGCCGGGTGGTGGTGGTGGTGGTGCCAGTCGGCGGTGAGCGGCGGTACTGGCGGTGGCTGCTGCGGTGGCTGCTGAGGCGGCTGCTGCGGCGGCTGCTGCGGCGGCTGCTGCGGCGGCGGAGGTGGCGTGGGGCCATGAGAGGAGTGGCGGTTCGGTCTGGGGCTGCCGCGGAGGGAGTTGCGACGCTGCCGGTCGCTTTCTTTGGACGGAAAGCGAAAGGATTTGGGAATTAAGGGATGAACACACGTAATGCCCTTGCAGCGCGACAAGACCAGGACCAAGAGCGGAGTTGATGTTCTTAAGCCGACGAACAAATGAGCTGTAATGTGCTCAATCTCGTCACATCACCGAAGCTAAGCAGGATTTTAACCTGGATAGAGCATGGTTGGGTGACCACCACGCACAGATTTCAATGTACCTCAGATCGCTCGGTTAAAAGTGCATTTCACCAACCGGTGCTTTAACAATGGTCAATGTTGATGAGCAGATTTAATTTATTTTAATTTGATATTGACAACAATGTCACTCATCTACCCAGGAAAAAGTGTCACTAAGTCTAAAATATAGATTATTAAAGCAGGGTCAAATCTTGACTTAAAGCTTTCTGGACTGCAGGAATCCATACTCTTTGTGTCTTTCGGTGAAGTCACGTAGATAGAAGTAGTAATAAAAAAATCACGTTTCGATCGCAACACGAGCAATCGTCTTCAGGTGAAAAAAATACGCCGTGATTTTTTTTATTGTTTTTCTATCCACGTGGCTTTACCGAAAGACCCAAAGAGTATAAAGCAGAGTCCTGCATTGCTATGTTTTGCTAACCCACAAGACAGGAGAGTAAAGCACCCAGAGAAAACCCTCAGATGTTGTAACAACAAGGTCTGGTCATGCTCTTGAAAGTTAATGTAAAGTAACTTTCTGCTTAGACGAATATTCAAACTCACAACAGACATCCCAGGACACACAGTGCAGATGTGTACGTACAATATAATAGCTACTAGCATTTTGAGTCTTTACATCTGTGCTTTAAAGATTAAACATTGGCCAGCACATGTTCATGCATTTAAAATGTCGCATATTTATATAACCCCAAAGAACAAGCATCTCCAATCCTGTGGTTAAGCACCTGGGCTGTGTTCCGGACTGTCCAAATTGAGTTGGAAGTTTCGTGTGAGAAGCACAAACTTTTATATATTTGTCTCTTTCCCAAAATATATCCAGACTGTACCATCGGCATCTCAACACGAGATGACAAATCCTTTCGATCTCTTGAAAGAGCAGCGCAGCCCACTGCGTTGGAGAACAGCCCACGGAAGCGGATATTACAGAGCTACCTTCGAGATCCCCTCAAGCGATATCGGGTCCACATAGGATGGAGGTAAGAGTAAGTTCAACACACGATAGTCGAACTGATACAAGTTTCTCACGACTGGCATGTAGGCAAATTAAGCGGTGACCGTGCCAAGGCTATGAAATCACGACTCTTGAGAAGCCAGTTTTGTCACAGGGGCTGCAACCTGGATTCAAACCTAAAGTCTCAACGGTGCCCGGATACGAATCTGCATGGCAAGAGCCGTTGGTGTCGTTTTGCATTGCGTCTTCGTCCCGGTGCTCACCGTTGTAGAATTTCTCCGTCTTCACTGTCGTTGCCTTTTCCCAGTGACTGCTGCCACCGCCACTGCTGCTGCTGCAACATCGCCCGCCTGTGCCCGGCACGCCATGCGTCTCCATGGCGACCACACCCTCCCGAGCGTCGTCCGCCAAGTCTGCGGCAACGCGAGCGGAGCGACGACGGCACGCGGTCAGCGTAATGGACGCAGGGCGAGGAGTTAACGATGAGTTCAATAGGCACCGATGTCGATTGGCACGTGGCGAGGACGTTGCGTCACCTACGCGCGTCTCGACTCGTTCATTGTGTGACACCAGAAAGCACGGCTTCCACGGTGGAAAAACAATACTGGCGCCTCTCAACCCGTGCCGGGCTTTACTCGGGCACGGCCCTCGTGCGGCTCGGTTGTACCGACCCACGTGTACATTATGTGGGTCGGTACCGCAGTTACCCCGCCTCACTCACCTTCCCCACACTCCTCCACGGCTGGCGCCATCCCCTCACCCCACTCCTGCCCCATGTGCCGCCCACCGGCCTCATTCTCCGACATCTTCACCGACTCCTCGTGGTGGAACGCCTCCGCTTCAAATGACTCGGCCACCTCCACTACGGGCGCGTTCAGACACCAAGAGAGCCAAACGTTAGCCTTTCCCAGGAAATTTCACAAATTAGAGATCGGTCCTATCGGTCTATTATTGGATAAAGAGCCCACCCAAGACACCGGACTATAAGGCTACTGTTAATAGTCTGGTTTGTCAGTCTATTAGTGGCTGGAGACCAAACAAACACTAGTCTGCCAGTCCAATGTTTATGAAGACAAGTTTGCCACTCTGTCGTCTAATCATTGCATCAGAGCAATGTGTCAGTCTGTTGCTGAGAGACCCACTCAGAGGCCAATGTGCATTTATACTGTAACTACTTAAAACGTTTTTCTTTATTTTACCAGGTAAGGCCCACTGAGCTCTTTTTCAGAAGCGACTTGGCCACAAATGATAGCTCAACGAAGTGGGTTATATCACGTGGAAATTTATAGCAGCCAAATACTTCAAACGTATGTCGATTCTAAATGTGGATGGAAAAATCGGAGGACCCGGAGAAAAGTCCCCACGACCATGGGGAAAGAAACATGCAAACTCAAAACAACAGGCGTCAGGGTCAGGATTGAACCCACGACCTCCTCCATACCGGAAAAGGAAGTTAACATCTCGCCACCATGGCGCCTACGGTATCGTGAGCAGAGAGCAGTGTGTGTCGCTCTATCCGTCTGTCGTGTAAAGCACCCCACACCTTCCTCCGACATGGTGGTGGTGTTGAGGTAGGGGCTGCCTCCCCCCTCGCTCGGCCCCACGGCACTGTCTCCGTGCACCAGCGAGTCCAGGCAGCGGAATCTCTGCGCCGACTGCAGCAACTCGCGGCTCAGGGAGCTCAGCGTGGCCACGATGGCGTCGAGGACGGCGCGACTCGCCAGGACTCCTTCGCAACGGGGGGCGCACCCTCCCAGCTCCTCATCATCCTCCTCCTCCTCCTCATCACCACCGTCATCGTCCCTCGCTCGCTCCTCCTTCCCGTCGCCATCGTCTTCGCCGTCTCCGGACAGTGGCCCCCGGCTGCGGCGGCGGCCTCGTCGGCGCTGGCGCCACCACCACCGCTGTCGCTGCCGCGGCGCCAGCGCGCGCACGAGCCGGCGCAGCACGGCGTAGAAGGCGAAGGGCAGGCGGTCGCGGGCGGCGCCCAGCAGCTCGGCCGTCACCTGCACGTCCTCGGCGCACGCCAGCAGCTCCTCGTAGTCGCTGATGCCCAGCTCGCGCTCCATGGCGTCGGCGAACGTGGGCTTCATGCCGCGCGTCGCCAGCCACGCCGGGAAGTCTCCGCGCGGGTCCGGCTCTGCCACGGCGCACGCCATCGCTGCAATGTCGCGGTTCGGTTCGCTGGCTCGTTAATTAACGACGATGCCTGCAGAGAGAGTGACAGTGGGTGGTCCCCGGTCAATGTCGACACACAACTGGGGCAGAATTTCTTCCTTTGTACGGCAACAGAGAGTATGTCCATTTGAAAGTTTTTTTTCCTTCATAAATCTGGACCGTCCAACCAGATTTTATTTCACCAGGAGGGAGAAACAATGCATAGTTCTCTGATGTGTTTTCGGGTTGCACCGTGTGTTGCTTGGTGTAATATCCGACGATCCACTGCACATGCTGTTAACTTCTTTAGTAAGTGCCTTCAGTTCGGCAAAGCTTACCTGGGTTATCTCAAAGACCAAACATAGTGAGGTCAGAACCGAATTCGGTTCCCAAAGATGCTCCCAGCACAAGCAGCTTAATGCTGGACGTCGTGCTGAACAATACGTAGTAGAAACTGCAAACACATCGGAGAACTATAGAGCTGAACTGCGAAAACCTACTTCGTAAAACCCATTAAGATAAATATGAACCGTGGTCTTGTTTACAAGTATGATCTGGGGTTAAATAAAATAATAAATATCGTGACATCGAATAAGTGAAATAACAAATACATTCCAAATGCGCCATCGGTGATGTGCTGTAATACGAACAATAAGACTAAGTCAGTGATCTCTGAGGGCACGTTCCTTAGCAACTGCTGCCATAGTGCGTTGTTATGGCAATGTGAATTACCCCTCATAGCTAAGGTCCCGTGACCTTAGACATATATGCCTTATGTAATATATATTGCCTCACCACTGGCTGTGTTGTTGAATGTCTGATTTCTCTTTTGGCAATTAAATGTGTTCTCTTCCATATAATTTAAATGCGAAATCTTCTAATAAAGCGTCACGTTATCACGAGAGGATTACGCTACCAATTGAAACTCTCACAGAGAGCATTAAATAATGACCTGAGGAAGATAATGTCACAGAACTACTTCTGAAGTTATTTTCAATTGCATGGCACGCCTCCTCCCATGCCCTGCTCATCACGTGGTAATGACACAAACAATGATTACATCCTCAGAGCCACAAGGAAGTCAACCAATGCTTGTGCAATAATAAAAATTACTTATTTACCAGGGGTGTAAGGCCAACACCGATTACACCGTACATTTTTAGCAATGGGTGGAAACCAGAGAACCCTGCAGAAATTCATGCAGAACAGGAGGACATAAAAACTCCACTCACTGACACAAATACAAAAAATCCCCAAATAGCCTTAACAGACTTTTGGAGCAAGTGCTGTAAGCGAGCACCTATGAAGGCCGGCACAGCACACAAAGAGGTGGGTGGCAAGAAACACACACAATCACTTGCACGCACACTCTTGAGATCATACACTCTTCCCACAGAAAAGGTGCCCGAGTTAGAAATCGAACCCAGGTCCTTCTTGCTGAGGCAAAGGTGTTAATCCTGCGCCTCCCTGCCACCCAACGTGAGACCTTATTCAACTTGTTATTCAACTTATTAAACTTGAGAACCCGAATTTATCGCAGGTTACGTCCGTCATTAAACACAACAAATATACATTTATCTCATATACGTGTACATGACAGGCCTGTTGTCGTTCCACTGCTGAATGCGATCCTCACCGTGCCATGTTGGCCGAGGGTTACTTGACCAATTCACCACGCGAGTCAGTGTGGGATAAAGGCGGTCAGCATAGATATGGAAAAGTAAATCACTTCAGCCATTTGATTATATCTCACTCGTGAGCGCCACAGCAGCCTAAAACAACCGTTTTATGTATGGAGACTGACCATTAAGGCACGATTCACATCTGTGAAAACTACTGGATATCAGTGAAAAATAGCTTCACAGCTCAGCGGATTACTCCAGAAAAAAAACACACAAATTCTGATTCCTGTAAATTCTAACAAAGTAGTGGCAGTTAAATTTTGATTTAAAACTTTCGTGACTGCAGTGATTCATATTCTTGGTTCTTTCGGTAAAGTCACGTTGAAGGGAAACAATAAAATATATTTTATTTTATATAATAAAATATATTTTATTGTAAAGCCACGTTGAAGGGAAACAATAAAATAATAAAATATCTTTTTATGAAGGGAAACAACAAAATAATAAAAATATATTTTATTATTTTAAAATATATTTTATTATTTTATTGTTTCCCTTCAACGTGACTTTACCGAAAGAACCAATAATATATAAAGTAGTGGCAATTGTGTTATCGGTGCGAGGCCAAGACACACATCACATGGACACAATGTTTATATTCCACTGAGTTCTGGTAAGGTCACATTATTTCGTCGGCATCCCAATACATTCCCTAATCAGACGCAACTTGTTTATTTTTCGCGCATCCGCCCGAGTGAATTCCATACTCCATTTGGACGTCGAACGCTCCTTCCTCAAGTGAAAGCAACAACAAAAAAACCACAACCCTTTGAACAATGCAGGGCGAGTCACCCCGTTCTCGTTTACCGACCCGAGAGTGACAATCACGTGGGAGATGACGGTGATAAATGATGATAGATCTGCGCCTGATGATGCTCGTGATGGCGAATTGAATACGGTGCCAACTTCTTTCGCACCGTACGCAGCCAACCGTGCTAATCGGAGGTGCAGGGGACGACTTTTGAGGGGCGTTTCGTTGTTAAACGCGAGGAATAAAATTGTGATAACGGTGACGACGTCAAGGATAATCGTACTGACGATGGTGATAATGGTGGCGTTCTTGGTAATTATGCTAATGGTGCTGAACGTGCTTAAGGAAATGACCCGATAACAATCGTGGTGACTGTGACTGATTATGCTGACGACGGTGGTGGCGACGGACATGAAGCAGGTAATGCTATTGACGGGATAACGATAATAGTTACGTAAATAACGACAATTGTTATGATGGTGGTGATGTGCAATGATGGTCGCGGCTTTTGGGTCACAATTTACGACGGCGAATCTCGACAACGCGACCGCTTTGTGCCGCATCACATTAATTACACAATCACGAACGGAGGAACACTTTTTTTTTAAATCGGCGTTTGCGGGGCCCTTCGAAGAATTCATTTCCAGAGCCCTGCAACCCAGGCCCCGACAGAGGCCCCCCCCCTCAATAAACCACCTCCACACGTATTTCAACGCCCCCCCCCACCTCCACAGCGACGAGCAATACCGCACGCATCTATCTAAACCCTGGCACGTGTCGCATAACGCGCGCGCACACACCGCACAACACTTCGTTACAAACGTTCGTCCTAATGGTGCACGTTTAGTGCAAGAAGAGAGTTTGAGGTGAGCGGGGGGTAACATTAAAAACTCAATCGTCCGCTCGCTACCTTTTATGCAGCTGTTCCCGCATGCTGTGACCCAACCCCCACCCCTCAGCACCACCCGAGCCAATCGGAGCGCCGCTTGCTCGGCGACCAATGGTGAGCGACGTCATTGGCCGGCCAAACAGGCGCGAGATTATATTTTTTTGTCTGTTATACGGAGCCTGGCCAAAGATCCCATGACGTCATTGTGCGGCGAACTATGCAATGACGTCATGTCACCGTTCCTTGCAGCGTTTAATTTAATCTCGATTTGAAGCTTTCGTGACTGCAGGAATCCATACTCTTTGGTTCTTTCGGTAAAGTCACCAAGTGGGTAGAAAATAAAATAAATCAGACTGTTTTAAAAGATTTGAAACGAGTGTAGCCTCAGGGTCATAAAGAAAACAGTATGCCGCAGCAGCACACCATGGGCGTTCCCACGTGATGCACGCTTGTGTTGCGCCCGAAACGTCGTAACACAAAATAGATACCTTTTGCACGGAATCAAGTACTGCATTAACCACACACAGCACTTGTGGTAAACTGATAACGCTATGTAACACGAATTTTGTTCCTGGGTAGTTAAGTGTTATTTTTCTAATTGTGACCAGGACTTTATGTGAATGAACGACACAAATGCACACCACGTTTTCTGAAAATAGGTAAATTTCAAAATTTCACTGTCCTGGTCACAAAAGCAAAGTTTGTGGGGAATAATAGCCATTTTCTGTACTTTTGAGGCATAAGCAATTAACACTTACTACCCAGGAACAAAAAAAATAATCAATTTGTTACACAGTCAGTTTACTTTTGAGGCATAAGCAACGTCGTACTCAAATTTTTAAATGATGTTGATTCACTCTTCAACACACCGGTGGCCTAAAGTGGTGAACTATTTGTCCTTTGTAAACGTGACACATTTTTTTTACTGTTTGGCCGTGTCGGGTGGTGGAGGGTTACGACACATTTATAAATAACGCGATGTAACCCAAAAACCTTTATTATGAATTGTTACACAGTGTTATGAATGGAGTGGATTATTCACTTTGCTTGTGTCCTGTTCACAAAAGCAAAGTTTGTGAGGAATAATAGCCATTTTCTATACTTTTGAGGCATAAGCAATTCGGAAAATAAAACTTACTACCCATGAACAAAAGTAAATTGTTACACAGTGTATAATATAAAAGTTTGTGTAGCTGCTCACCCCTAGCTATAATTCCTCTGTGCTGTTCGCCTTTTAGCATTCCCTGGTCTGATAATTGTGATACAAGGCCTTACATTGTCTCTGGTGTAGGCCAATCAGTTTTAAAGACAATGCCGTATTATGAACAATGCCTTATATTACCAGAGCTTATATTCTTGGTTCTTTCGGTAAAGAAAGATTCAAGAATATGAATCACTGCAGTCACGAAGGCTTTAAATACAAATTTACCAGAGGTTGTTTTTGTTTGAATGTTCACAAGTACAAGTGTGGTTAATTCAGTACTCGATTCAATGCAAAAGGTTTATATTTGGTGTTTGAACATCTTAACACAATTGTTTAATTGCCAGAAAGGGGTAAACCCTATTCTTATTTTTCAGAATGTAAATGCGATTTACATATACGATGAAAAATATAATTGCCGTCGCGAGTTGTGCGTAGATTAGTAACAAAAACCGCCACACTATAAACACCGTGGGTGATCTGAGGTGGTGAAATATGTAATAGGCGACGTTTCGGCCAACGGCCCTTCTCCATGGTTACTGTACGTGTGTAGTGTACGCTGGGGGAACATTTAACCTCAACAACCTGCGTACGTCCAATCCAATGATAAAGTGGACATTCCATATTCACATGGCGAGTCGCGGAATATCCTCAATAATGCAAGCCCCCCCCCCCCCCCTTTGTCAATCCACCGATGGATGAAGGAATCCTTTGTGCCGTATCGGTCACGGGAGTTGTTTGACCATACTTCACCACACGGGTCCATGGTGGTGGGAGGAAGAGGCGTCTAGGATCGGTTCATTTGGTTGGAAATCGAACTCGGATGACCGGGGCTCATTGGCTCAGCGTGCTCACCGCCGCTTCGCCTCGTAAATTATATCAAGCGGTGGAAATTCCACGTTCACGTGACCGATCGCAGTACAACTTTGCCCTCAATTATCAATCAAATAAATCGTGTCCACATAAGAGTTACGACAATGTCCACACTAAATGTGGAACGTCCCGGTCTAATTAGCACAGTGTCTCTGGTGTAGGCCAATCAGTTCAGCTTTTATTACGAGTAATTATTATATCATCGCTTCTGAAATCGCATCCTAATTCCTCGGCATAAATAGCGCCTCGTTACAAATCGCGAGAGGTGGCGGCTTGTGAAAGGGGGAGGCCTTCATCCAGCGGTGGATGGACCACGATCTCACGACGAATTTAACGAGCCCTTACCGGGTGCCGATGACGATGTCAACGATGGAGTACCCGTGATGACTACAACAACAACAAGTCAATACAACTAAACGTGAGCTCATTTGCTTTGTCGGATTTGGAGTCAAATAAGTTGGTGTCCAACAACAACCGACGGCGGCGGCAGCGGCGGCGAAGACAACGATGTCGGGAGCTGGTGAAGTGGGAACGCCGTCGAAAGTCCTCGAGAGAGTCGATAAAACATCGCCACCATCTTACGTAGGGGGACAGAGAGGGGGGGGCTCGATCGCGCGGGACTTCACCGGATAACGGCAACGGAGCGGCGCGCGCTGCGCTTTCCGTAGCCCCCCACCACCACCACCCCGCCGCTGAGATTCAACCCTCACGTAAGATGGCCGGCGAATTTCACCCCTTCCGCCGCTCGGATTCAACCCTCCCGTAAGATGGCCGCCGAAGCTGAACCCCCCCCGCCGCCGCTGGGATTCAACCCTCGCGTAAGATGGCCGCCGCCGCTCACCACCCTCCGCCGCTGAGATTCAACCCTCGCGTAAGATGGCCGCCGAAGCTCACGCGCCGCTGGGATTCAACCCTCACGTAAGATGGCCGCCGCCGCCACCACCGCTCACCCACCTCGCCGCCGCCACCCCCCGCTGTCCACCGCCACCCCCTCCTTTCTCTTCACCTCCTAGAATCAACGCGAGCGACTAGGTTGGAGTTAATCCATCGCACTTTCCTCCTCTCTCAGAGATCGCACACACACAACGCGTTGCGGCTCCGTTAAAGGTCAAGGGCAGCAGCGTCGGCTTGGCCGACCCGGTCGCCCGCGAGAGTTGTTGAGCTCCTCTCTGCGCCAGTGGACGTTCTCCCTTCCTCTCTCCCCCCTCTCTCTCTCTGTCTTCGTGTTCCCCGCGGGGTTTTTTTTCCACCCCCCCCCCCACACTGTCCAAGTGGTTTTTTTTTCGGCCGCTTGCGAGCGCTTCGGGGCTCGCCTTCGAAGACGCAGCCGCCCCGCAACGCAGGGGCAGGGAACTTCCCGAGCAAAGGAGGCCTTGGCGAGCACTACCGGCGAGCAGTCCTTTCCCCCCCGGTAAATAAAGTGTTTAATCTTGACACACATATGTAGCGTTGTTAGCGAGCACCTATTAAGGCCGGGACGGCACACGAAGGGTCGTGGGTGGTCCGCACCGCGCCCGCCTTTATCTCCCGCGAGTGGCGGGTCTTTACTACACCGCACCGGATACTCGTTTGAGGCCGAGTAGACCTAGGGGAGACCCAGGTACCAGTTCAGATAATCGTCACCGATGGTGTCGTTGGCCGTGAGCGGGAATCGAACCCCGGGTTAGCCGGGTTCGTAGCGCAACGTGCTTACACTACTTACACTACCGCAACAACATCAACTATCTCCATTAAGTGGCGGTGACGTGCCCACGGCGCTTGTGCCAGGCTAGGTGCACTTTGAGGCCACGTCAAGTGTCGAACGTTGAGGCAGGAAGTCACGGGGCAGACTCAGGTGCCACGGGTCGACTGACTGAGATGACTGGCTGATGCACCACTGTGCCCCCTACTGTGCCAACCTGCTGTGCTTTAGCCACCCGGCGCTCCGCTCGTTGTTGTGAGCGTCGCTCCTCCGCCCTCCGTTGTTGTTGGAGGGCGACTGCCTCCAACTGCCCAGTAGCGACCTTCACGAGCCTCCTCCACAGAGGCCGATCTTGACACCGCTGGTACCAGTCATCGGCAAGTCCACTCAGCTCCACGTCCTCCTGTACCACATCACTCCATCTCTTCTCTAGCCCGTGCCGCGCCCGTTTAGCCCCCTCGATCCGGCCGAACAAAAGCTGTTTCGGCATGCGGTGGCTGGGCATGCGGGCTACATGGCCCAGCCAACGCAGCCTTGCCCGCCGGAGGAGCTCACCGATGGGACCTTGCCCAGATCTTTCCAGGATTTGTGAGCGCCTCACACAATCCAGCCTGGTTAAACCGGATGGATCGTAGGCAGGCCAGCCTAAATGTTTCTAACCGGCGAAGATGTTCCATTAAGGGGGTCCACGTTTCGCAAGCGTAGAGAAGGGAGGGAATGACCGTGACCGAGAAGACCTGAAGCTTAGTGCGGAGCGACAGACCAGGTAGCTTCCACACAGCGTTACGCAACCGATGAAAAGATATTGCTGCTCGACTGATTCGGAGTGAGACCTCTGCTGTTAAACCGGAGCCGGTCATAAGCACACTGCCCAGGTATGGGAAACTCTCCACTCTCTCCACAACTGCCCCATCACCAGTTGTGAGTTGTGGGGGTGGAGTGTCCGATGGGACAAAATACCCAGGCAAGTGCTTAGTATTGGCAAGCTCCAGGTTCAGCAGCAGCACCTTCAACTCTTCCTCTGAGTGAGCAGCAATTACCAGATCATCCACATACATAAATAGCATGGTTGAACAAGAGGGTATCTGTACCAGATGGAAATTCCTCCAGTACAGCTATTGAAGACTTCACGAACTACCTAGTCTAAAAATATGTTAAATAATGTGGGAGCCAGAGGACATCCCTGTCTATCCCCAAGGTGAACAGAAAATGGCTCCAACTCCCAGCCATGTAGTTTTACCCGGGTCCGCTTACCATCATGAAGGTCCTTAATGATCATGAGCAGAGAGTCAGGGACTCCGAAAGCACGAAGAACAACCCAGAGCCCAGGCCTACTGATGGTATCATAGCCCTTGACCAGGTCAATAAAGCAGAGATGTAGGTTTTGTTGGAATTCCTTACACCTCTGCTGTAGCAGATGGACAGAAAATATGGCATCTGTGCATGACCGCCCTTTCCTGAAACCGCATTGGGGCTCCACAAGCCTCTCCTCAGCGTGCCTGGCAAAGCGATGTTGAATAATCCTTGCCAGGACCTTTCCCGACAAACTGAGTGAGATGCCCCTGTAGTTGTTACAGTCTGTGCGGTCCCCCTTCTTAAAGAGGGGGACCACCAGGGCATCCTTCCAATCCTGCGGAACTCGTCCAGTGGTCCAGACTGGTCAGTTGACAGATCAGCTCCAAGGTAGGTCCTGGTGTCAAGGACATGGGCCCGCATCTGCTGTTCCGTCACTATGTAGTCCAGCAGATATTCTTGCTTGGACCCGGCATGCATCCATGATGTTGTGTGGATGCACCAATGCCGGAACAGCGTCAGTCAGTTTAACATGTAGGTTTTCGCGACCAATATCCATAAGAGGTTTTTGGGTTAGATCACATTTATTTATGCGATCTAACCCAAAAACCTCTTATGCCGGAGCAGCTTATTGGTAATTATCCATGGGCTGCACAAAAATCTAGCAGCCTCCTGCCGTTTGTTATTGAGCTGATCTGGCCCATGCCTTCCAATCACTCCAGACCAGGTACCAGCATCATGACCAACTCGGGCATTGAAGTCACCCAACAAGATGACTCAATCCCAAGGGGCCACTTTAGCTAGCACCTGTGACAGGAGGTCATAGAAGGCATCTGACTCATCGGCCTTGCCTGCATACCCTCACGGATGTTTGTCTTCGGTGGGGGCATAAATAACCACTTCCACCACTCCTCGCCTCTGGTTGATGGGAAGGCGAGCCCAAAGTAGCCTGGGGCTTACAGCTTTCCGCACCTCACCGCCACGCTCCCACGCCCCCCCTTCATTCTTTTGTTCAGAAGAAGAGCCACTCCCTGTTGTGTTTGGTAGTCTCCTGCCCCGAGTAGAGGACTGTCCACCCCTCATAGTGGGTGGAGCTAGAGCCGGGTCCACCGGACCTCCTGAATACCACAGAGATCCAGGCGGTACCAGTCCAGCTCCCGACAGAGGAGTGGCAGCCTCTCCTCCGCAGTGAACGTTCAAACATGCCACGTGGCCACCCGTAGTGGTTTTTTGTTGTTTCTGGAGGAACCCTGAGGGTAAGGATTCAGTCTCCTGGCTCCGCCAAATGGGATTTGGCCAGGAGACGTCATAGAGGCCTGTCCCCCCGGGGCCTCCGGCACAAGCTTATTAATTAAAAATTTTAATCGTTGTTTGATGGTAATTAATTGAAGGTGGAGGGGTTACCAGCCCCTCGCACCAGTCCAGAGCCCCCATTTGGCCGCTGTGGTGGTTACAAACGCCATGAGGGGAACGGCCAATGTATATTTGCCCTCCCCCCACGGCACTGCTCACCACAGCGTTGCCGTCCGGCACCAACGAGGTAGGGGGTTGTTTTTGCCAGACTTGCACTACCGCACCATTCTATACACACGCGCAATTATACAAGCGTGTGTACAATGGGTGCTGATATGTGCAGATTAAAAAGTGCGCTCAGAAGCACGGAGAGCCGCACGCTTGGAATTAAATTGAAAGAACGCTTACGATTAGCACAGTTGCGCTATGTACGGTGCGAAAGAAGCTCTGCATACTTTACATGCGTTGGAGAACATACGCAGGCTCTTGACTTGCTCGTTTAAACTATTCATAAACGAAAGCATGGCTGCAAAGGATGATGACCGATGGTTGAGAATAACCCCTGAGTGGCAGCCAAGGAATGGAACGCGTCTTGTGAGTTCGATGTTCATGGACGAGATACATAACCGTCTCAACCCATACGGTGTACCCCGTATTCTTGTACAGGGAAATTGAGTTTTCAGGTCCATACAGCCGTTTCAATACGGGCAAATAATTTTTATTTTATTTCTTTGTGTTTTCCCTTGTGATGGGACTTTGTAAGATGAACGTTGAGATGTATAAGGGCACGGGGTGACCAATAACGTCTGAATTGGTCTGTAATAAGGTAGGCACTGAAGGGTTTGACAGGTTTGGAGATGGAGCGACGAAATCAGGTCGTGTGCAGGTGCCAAGTGTATTGGCATTGGAAGGATTGTGAGAGCTGGCCATGGCTAGGCATATGCCTTCAAGGTTCTCGTGACTAGGGATTTGCGGACAGTGATGGTATACAATCTATACAAATGATAGCTGTAACGTGACAGTCGTTTAAAAAAGACAGACTTTGGGGTGTTTGTGGATTGTACCACGCTTTGTCAGGGAAGTCTGACATTTCACGCCACGCGCTGGGAGCTTCTTCAGGAGCTGAATTTAACTTCTGAACGTTGGACATGGTGCCGAGCAACTCAATGTACACAACTTAAAAACACGTCAGAGAGGGTTACAGCACAACCCTGGAAAACTTAGATTGTGGGAAGGCAGACATAATCTTGGCACATGTCCTTTCCCCACACCTTTTAATTGTTGTCCTTCCCCTGCACCTCGAATTAGCGCAGTTGGCTACGTATGGTGCGAAAAATTTTGACATACGTACATAAATGAATGTAGACGTTTTGCCCACTGTCACTCACGTTGCAGCGATGGCGTGCGCCGTGGCAGAGCCGGACCCGCGCGGGGACTTCCCGGCGTGGCTGGCGACGCGCGGCATGAAGCTCAAGTTCGCCGACGCCATGGAGCGCGAGCTGGGCATCAGCGACTACGAGGAGCTGCTGGCGTGCGCCGAGGACGCGCAGGTGACGGCCGAGCTGCTGGGCGCCGCCCGCGACCGCCTGCCCTTCGCCTTCTACGCCGTGCTGCGCCGGCTCGTGCGCGCGCTGGCGCCGCGGCAGCGACAGCGGTGGTGGAGGCGCCAGCGCCGACAAAGCCGCAGCCGGGAGCCGCTGTCCGGCAACGGCCAAGACTACGGGAAGGAGGAGCGAGCCAGGGACGATGAAAGCGGCGGCGGCGGCGGCGATGAGGAGGAGGATGATGAGGGGCCGGGAGGGTGCGCCCCCGGCTGCGAGGGAGTCCTGGCGAGTCGCGCCGTCCTCGACGCCATCGTGGCCACGCTGAGCTCCCTGAGCCGCGAGCTGCTGCAGTCGGCGCAGAGATTCCGCTGCCTGGAGCCGGCGCTGCCGACTGAGGTGGTGACACAAACGCCACGGATGTGTGCCAGCGATGGGAGGACAGGCGGTTATTGCATCAGGCCATCCCAAAGTACTCCCATCTCAAGAGAAGGTGTGTGGCAGCCATGTTTTAGACCTGCGTAGGTTTCAGTGGTTGTGCTATATAGGTCTCTGGTGTGTTGTTTGATCGTACTGAATGTTGCTCGGCACGATATCCAAGGTTTCACTCCACTTGCCGTGGGCTTCTTCAGGCGCTGAATTAACTGGAACCATTTTTTTGTCAATCCACTGCTGAATGAGGGTTCACCCCCCGCCTCCCCAACTGGGAAGATCATGGAGGTTGTTTGACCACTCTTAATGCAGGTGAGTGTAGGGTAGTGAAGGCATCTGGCCTCTGGGAGTGTAAAAGTAGAGAATAATGGAATTTTCTGCACTTGTGCAGTCATCGAATGTTACATTTGGTTAGCCGGGTTCGTAGCACAACGTGCCAACCGCTTACACTACCGCAACATCAACAATCGCCATTAAGTGGCGGTGACGTGCCCACGGCGCTTATGCCAGGCGATGTGCACGTTGAGGCCACGTGAAGTGTCGAATGCCCGCTGGCAGGAAGTCACGGGGCAGACCCAGGTGCCACGGGCCGACTGAGATGACTGGCTGATGCACCACCTGTGCCCCCTACTGTGCCACACTTGCTATGCTTTTTCAACCCGCTTATTCTGTATGTTGAACTTCTTTCTCACCATATGTAGCCAACCGTGCTAATCAGAGTTGTGGGGAAGGACAACAAACTAAGCAGTTGCAAATAAATGAGTTTTCAATCTATATTCAAGTGGATAGCTCCAGTGGCTTCCTAATATCGGAAGAGGATTCCAGATGCCGCGTGAGACTCGCCGAGGTTTCCTGGATAAGTAAACAAAAACTGGCGGTTTCATTGAATGAGCTCTTGGCAGGCATTGAAGTGGTTATTTGGTGCCATTTACAGAATTTGTTTCCTAACGAGACACGAAGCTCTACCATCTGTAGGAGTTCTCTGGAGATTCCGACAGCGAGAGAGGTGATTGTCCTCATGGCTGTTCTCATCTTCATTATCCCTGCAGCTGAGGTCTCCCAGGCTGTGGAGGAGGCTTCTCCTGGCTTCCGTGAAGATTGCTTCGATGTCACCCGCATTAAAAAAGACCCATACGAAGGTGCCATCCAGCATTTAAATCGATAAACAAGACAAAATGCATATAAAGTACATCGTTTCTGCATAATGCTTTACAACAATCGTTTGAAATCAATTTGCCTATTTTCAGTCGGGCAAGTTGCTAATAGCGACACATTTTACACAATAATTATGTTCATACTGGGATCTTCTTTGTGATAATTATTTTGACCCCCACCCCCCCCCTACAGACAGATGGACGGACAGAGCTAACAGATTAACAGCCTCAGGGCCGTCCGTCACGAGTGGGAACATTTTCCTTATTCGTATATGTAACTTCTACATTTTCAGACAGGAAATGTCCCTCGTTATCAGCCTCTTCCTCTTTTATCGCACCTTGAGATGCGGTCACAATATAACAGTACCAATGCCTGACTCAGCTGATGTGACCCAGAAGGTCGAAACTGGTCCAGAGTTTGCTTACTTAAACGAGTGCCGGTATGAAATATTGGCTCGGAAGGCCCATAGGCTGATGGACAAGCTCTGAAAATGTGTCTAATTACCTCTGTACGTTCAGTACGTGTGTGTATACACCTGTGGTAGCATAGCAGTTAGCGCTCTGCACTCTGAACCCGACGACCAAAGTTCGATTCCTGCTCACGGCCAATGCCAAAGAAAATTATCCGAACCATTCTTGGGTCTCCCCTAGATTAACTCAGCCTCAATGAGTACATGGTACTATGTGTAAACATCACAAAGGCAGCCAGGCACGATGCTGGCCACCCACCCCCTCGTGTGCCGTGCCGGCCTTCATAGGTGCTACTCGCTAACATAACTTGCCCCAACAGTCTGTTGAGGGTAAAACGTGAGATCTTTGTCTAAACCCGCAGAAGCGGATCTCGTGCCAGACGCTGGCACCCTCGTGAGCGACTGTCTGGGTCAGAGTTTCACTGCGGTCCTGGCCGCCCCTCGGCTGAAGGAGGAGGTGGAGGAGGCGACGGCATTTGAAGACCCCGAGTCTCCTCCGGAGGCCGGGGAGTGGGAAGACGACACGTGGCCGACACAACCGCAAGGTCACATGACACGTGTTTGTGTCTGTCCCTTTGTAGTTCTCCATCACTACCACCCTTAAAAGCAGTCCTCCTCAAGCAGCGGTGGCAAGAACATTGGTCACTTTCAGCTCTTGAAATGCTCATGTATTGATATACGACTGTTAAAACTACGGTTCCTATGGCTATGTTAACATCGAGATAAGAATGAATTGAAGAAACTTGGTTTTCCATTTCGTACCTAAGTCTTCATCGGAACTCCCTGCCATCGTGTCTCTTCCAAAGGTCCTACGACCTTGCTCAATTCCAGATCATCTGCTGTACTATCATTAGGTCTGTTACTGAGTGCATCTGCAATAATAAAAAAAGAGTGCAGTTGTGCGGTTCTTTCTATTAACGACTCGTGCTATCTTAATGCGCCACCAGGCAATGCCGAATGGAGCCACAACCAAGAGGACACGGCACCCATCCTGCCCCAGCCCCCCACCGACGCCTACATCTACCCCGACTACGCCGCTAAACCCTCACCACCGGGGCGCCGGTGCATACCCACTGGCCGTCCGTACAACCAGCGACAGACGTTGCCACCGCCAGCGCCACCACTACAACCACCACCAGCCTCTCACATCACCGCCGCCGCAGCCACTGTCGGCCTCGGTGGCGGCCCCTTCACGTGCGCCACCTGTGGCCTCGGCTTCGGGACAAAACGCTGCGCGCAGGCGCACGCGCGCACGCACACACAAACGGGCGGGCGCGCGTTCAGCTGCGAGGTGTGTGGCAAGGCCTTCACGCTGCGCTGCAACCTGTACCGGCACAAGCAGATGCACGCGGCTGACAAGCCGTTCGAGTGCAGCGCCTGCGGCCGGCGCTTCAGCAAGCGCATGCACCTGCGCGTGCACTTCTCGGCAATGCACAAAGTGGTGGTGGCACCGGTACAGGGGGCTCCGGCGTCAGCGGCTGAAGGCTCCGGCGTCGGTGCAGCGCTGGGAGGACACGGGAGAAATGGTCACCTGGTGGTGTCGGGTTATGGGCACAGGGCGCTGTAATACAATGAAATGACCGATCAGCCATCAGCCCATATATGGTTGTGAAACCTGAATCGAGATATATTGTATTGATGCTCATCGTCGATCCGAGAGCCAAGTTGGAGTATCGAGTTATTGAGGGTTAATCACCGAGTTGATTCATTGGCAAGTGATCCATGGATCGAGTAATCCCATCGGTTAGGATAGCGTCATGTGAAATGGCTTTTTTTTTTAGCTAATATCGGCGGCATCGAATGACAAGGACGATGCTGTTGTTGTTTCAAGACTGGCATGTTTAAATACAAGTCAATCATGAATACATTCATGTGTTCCTGCTATTCTCATAGCACAGGCTATCTCAAAGGCGCGATGCATCTACATACATACTTCTTTCAAACCGTACATAGCCAACCGTGCTAATCAGAGGTGCGGGGTGAAGGAGGTTACATCGTAGTCTGCACTTTAAGGGACAGCTGCAACCACGGTCCCCTGCCGCAGGACGACTCTTCTGCATTGGAGGGAGGCGCGGTGTAATGATTGTGAGGACGTTGCTGTGCGAGATTTAAGTAATTTGCGGGTAACTTGAAAAATGTGGGCCTTGGTCAACACTTTTGATTGTTGCCGGAAACTTTAAGGGCCACTGTGAAGCTGAGGGTGGGTCGTCTTGGTTAACGCACAACTGCGTTCTTAACCATGGCGGCTGCTGGACTCTTGACCACAAACCTTTGCAACTCGCAGGAAATGTGCTGCCAATCTGTCACGTTAAATAATGTAACATGCCCTGCCAAGTGTGTGCATGCATTTAATAAGGCCCTGTTGACACACTGCTGTTACCAAGTCATTGTTTTTAATACATGGACAGGACATATGACAACACAAACCCATATAGCCATACAAAGTCACCGACAACACATTTGGCGTGCATCAGTAGATACGTTTTCAACGACGCGTTATATTTAAATCACATTTACAGAAAATCTATCATTTACAAATATCACTTTAAAAACTAACAAATCATTTGTAGCTTAAGACATTCTCATCACATTTCTAAACTGGATTTTATGGTCATTTTGCGATCATGTGGTCACACAAGAGATATGTTGACTCAATGGAATTTTCTAAATCGGCCAAAACCACACCATCCGGTATTTGGTTCTGGCTTGTGACCACCCAGACGTTGCCAAGAAGTAAAAGTGGTTTGGTGACTAGTCAGGGCACTGAGTTGAGGCCACAGAAATTCTGGGGAAGCTGGTTTCTAAAGCGTAAAGTTAACCAATGGCCACAAAAACATTGCTTTGGCTTACAGCAGCTCTGCCTAAAAAAACCCAAATGGATTGTCACATGACAAACATCTATTGCAGAGCATGTACACTAGATAGTGAGGATAAGAGGTGAATGAAGGAACTTCAGAAATAGTTATGTGACAACTTCCAGAGGTTAATTCTATTCATCATGGGGTGATGTTACACTGCTGAGTTGCAAAAAAAATTAAATTAATCTTACGACTTGAAATAGAACAGATGGAATGTGATTGGGAAGAAAAAGCAAACATAAGGATGCAACCCCTGGTCTTGTCGAGAAGACCCTAAAACAAGCAATAATGTATATTTTCCACAAAAGACTTACTGTTCCTGTATGTATTAAGATGCTAAATGTTTTGTATGAGGTTATGCAGGAGCCTGTAAGATGGATACCAAAGATGAATATCTGACCCAGAGCTGCATTCTAGGATTAACAATGAGAGCCAATTCTGGTTTCCATGGTAGCACGTATCATCAGTAGTTGCCGAGCGATGGTTGCTGTTGATCTAAGCTTCCATGCGCCACACAGAGAAAATAATAAAGCATGCTTCAGTCAGACGTCGGACTTATCACTCCACTCATGTGCGCTGCATCAAAGATCCGGTGGTGAGCAGGGAGGAATCAGCGACGGGTCGTGCCTCCAAAACCTGCCGACAAAATAACAAGAGAAATTGTGCATATGCATGGCTTGTGGAACGCTCATACTCAAAAGTATTTCATGAGCAACAATAAAGCACGTTCCAATCTGCACTACCAGATGGGGTTACGCCACACGTGACGTAAAATGATGCCGTGCACAACGAGGTTACTGAGAGGGCAGGCATGTGCGCCTTGGCCGGCAATGCAAATTTTTTTTGCGCTGGTAATCGCCAGGTTTTGGGCTAGTTTCCTATCGGGCAAGTCTCTAATAGAAAATAGAAATAATAAATAATAATAGAAACTGCACATTGGATCATCTTCGTGAGAGTTATGCCTTCCCTTCGTTACAGACAGACGGACACAGTAAATGCATAAAAACTTTCCACCTTCGTTGCAAAGCATTTAATAAAAAAAGCGACGAACGCCATTCTGTTGATGTTGCTCAAGAATAGATGGGGTTCATGTTTGGTGCCGGCAGTTGGCAAGGTGTGGTGACAGCGACCAGTCAAGGCAATGCCCGGGGTTTGCTTATTGCTCTGCTTTTATAATTACCCACACACATTGTACATAACAATCACTAGGCATGTAACAATTCACCTATTCCCCTCTCCCCCCGTTTCCCCAGTGTGTTGAATTGTCACGATTCAAGAAATTATATATTTTTTGTCTCATTTGTCCTCTCCTGTTTGCCCTACTTTATTCATCCATTTAGCCTAATAGGGGCATTTTCATTGACCAGTATGGCCAAACAACCCTGCACACCAAAAGCATATAAAGGTCTTCATATGGTAGTGGATTAATAGCGGCCTGTACACACAATTTGCAAAATCACAATAAATTATTGCAAGTGCAGATGAACTCTACAAGTATAAAATATTGTGAGCGTAAGAATCTGTTTCAACCAACGATTCCATTAAGAGTTACACGCCTAACATTACCATGTATAAATTAGAGGCCTAATACTAGACATTATACATGACGCCAGTACTTCTGCATCTAACATACAGCAGTTTTACATTAAAACTAGCCGTTAAAAGCTTAAGATAAATTCATAGAAATAATTTCACCAAGATAGCCGCTGACATTTCGCAAAATGCGTCACGCCATTTTGAAAACCGCCCTGCGAATGGAAATGCCCGTCGAGCGGTGGCGTAACGATCAAAAACAGTTTGCTTATCTTGCTTTATATCTATAGAGCTTCGCTCAAGGCGCTTAACATAGTATAAAAAAACGGTGACAATAGAATGATCTAGATCAGGGGTCACCAAACTACGGCCCGCGGGCCGCATGATGTCAGTCCATCAGGCCTGCCGACGGTACTTAAATTTGGTTGATAAAACGTATGGAATACGAGACGTGATACAATTTAAATATTATGTTTAGAATACTAGGAGATCTTCATGCATGCGGAGACCTTCTGACTGCTATGTTCCTTAAATTTACAATTTTAAATTATTGTATCTAGATTTTCGTGTTTATTGTAATGTTTGCTTATTTCGCGCCATCCCAAGTACTTCCCCGGCTCGTGGTAGCTCCGCCTAAGCTCTGACGTTACCATGGTTTCCATGGCAACACACACAAACACGCTTCTTTCCCGCCCCCAGATTTTCCAGCTGTCAACACAGGTCCGACGCTCCAGAAATATGTATTTATTATGCGGCCCGCGCTCGTCATTCTTTCAGTTATCCGGCCCACTGTGAAAAAAGTTTGGTGACCCCTGATCTAGATGGAAAGGGGAGTGCAAGGGTTGAGGAATGAGTGACCGCAATAGAGGGTACGTATGGATCACAAAAGGGTAGGGGAGGGACGTGGAGGGGAGTGAGGGAAGAGAATGGGCAATAGCAGAGGTGAGGCTTTAAGAGAACAAGGGAAGGCGGCGGTTACAGAGGGGGACCGAAATTTTTGTAACTTCTTCTGCACCATTCGTAGCCAACCGTGCTAATCGGAGGGTGTGTGCTGCGTGTCGTCGCACTCACCCGATGCGGTGCGCGTGCCACCTCCGCCACTGAAGTTGGGTACGCTGCGAGAGTTGCTGCTGCTGCTACTGCTCCCAAACCACGACGGGTTATGCGCCGTCTGATGGTGGTACGTCGGGCCCGAACTGCCGCACGGGAGAAACTCGGCAGGGTCACCGACGGATCGCATGTCCACGAGCGTGCTTACTACAACCACGTGAAAGGCCACGGTGGTGACGGTGTGTGACGTAACGTTTTTTTTTTTTTTGCATTAACTTTATGTTTTGCTTTCCACGCATTTATACAGCGGCACCGAAAAATTTGATTGAACCGCATCAACACGTTTAACACTGTCCGTTCTTCTCAAAGCATGTTGGTTTCCTGGGCAGAGTTAATGTGTTATTAAAACTAGTTGGGAGGGGGGGTGGGGGGGGGTGACATGACAGGTTTTTTTGTTGTGGTCTTCGCGTCATCTCGTCTGCTTAAGAATTAACTTACGTATAGAGATGTATCACTCTTTTAAGACATTTCACACCAAGTCCCAAAAAGCCTGTGGTGGGATTTTTTTTTAATGTTGCTGGATAATATTGGTCTGGATAACCAAACATATTTCTACTTTTGTGAAGACGCAGAACAAAGTTCTGCTTATATTTTGCTTATACCCATAGATCACCCTGTATACTGGTTCCGCACCTTCTTATGATTTTTGGACCGCCTATCACCCGAACCACCCAGATACAGACCATGGTCGATGATGATGATGGTCACCGTGTGCGGTACGTGCATGCGTTTGCGGCACTCACTTGCGGCTGCCCAGCAGGTATCCCATGAGGCCTCCCGCGCCCATCCCCGACCAGAACCCGGGGCCCGTGGCCGCTTGTTCCGCGCCTGGCGGGCGGCGCATGCGCGGCTCTCCCGGCGCGGCCCAGCCGTACGACGGTGGCGGTGATGACCCTGCCGGGTAGCCTGCGGTCATAGAGAATCCAAACACAGGGTCAGATCGGTGGAGGCGGTCCAGACTTGAATCCAGGATTTCAGGTGGCGCCAGCTCACAGCTCCCACACAGTATTATCCTCCTTGAACGAGCCAGGCCACCTGAAGTGAAGTTTTTTTCGGGTGAAAGTCACACTAACCTCGATGATAGAATAATGCACTTTATTTAACCAGAAAAAACTTAATGGAATGTCAACGCATTATTTCAAAGGGGGCCCCTACATTTAGATGTTAATACATGCTTTAGGTGCAGCAGGAATCCACAGTTAACAGGATACAATCCAAGCATTTCAGTAACAAATTCCATCCAGATTTAAGAATCCACTGTTGCAGTGCCAATTTGTGACCACCTTGTAGCCCCAAGCATGGTGATTCTCAGACTGACTTCCATCTCAGAAATGACCAGGCACAACTCTGAACTAGTATTTAGAGATCCGGTGAAACAGGGTACTTCGGTCATAGACAGTGCAGCCAAACTAACCTGAGCTGGGGTTCTGGTTCTTGAAGGAGTAGGGTGGCGGTGGTGGTGGGTATGCAGGACCGGTACCAAGCCCAGACGCGTGCTGCTGGTGCACATCATCGGCGGGCGGGTACGGAACGTCTTGCCCTCCAGTGCCACCACCGCTCAGGAATAACTTGTAGACCCCAAAAGCGACTCCTATCAGGACCAGGATGATCAACACCCCCGAACCATTGCCCTTGCCGTCGGGCAAGGGGTTGTTGGACCTCCAGCCTCCAGTTCCCGCGCCGCCGCCACCGCCCACCAGCGAGTACTCGAGGCCGCATGAACCCCGCAGCACATACGGGTCGTCTGGGTAGTCGTAGCCCTCGCAGCTCACGGAAATGCTGCCAAAACGGTACGAGCTGCCCATGTCCGCCTTGCACTCCCACTACAGGGTTGGAGGGACAGGAGGACGGAAGACAGCAGGGTAAGAAGGGGCAAGGGAAGGGATAGGAGTGAGGAGGGGCAAGCAGTGTACAAGTTGGCAAGTGGCGTAGCATGGTTGGTGTGGGGCCCAATTTCCCCTTTCTTTGTAACCCGGTGCCGGCGCCTCTCTAACCTGGGGGCTTGCATAATCAATAGCTACGTCACTAAAGTATAGTGGTGCCAGGACTGTGAGATGTGCTGAATATGCTTCTGATTTAAAGCAGGAGAGTGTTTAAGCGGGAGTGGAGGGGGGGAATCTTTTCCCTAACTGAATATGATGTACGTTTGGCAGACCACACATTAACACGCCACGATCTCACTGAAATAAGCAACTGATCGACATAATATTAGAAACGAAACTACAGTAAAACTTTGGATTGCGAGTAACTTGGTTTGCGAGTGTTTTGCAAGACGAGCAAATTTTTAAAATAAACTTTAATTTGATAAACGGGCGAGGTCTTGCAATACGAGTAGTACGTATACGCTTTGTCTGCCGAGCGTCACGTGATCACAACTGATATACGAGTGCTTTTATATACGAGCGCTTTGGATTACAAGCACGTTTCCAGAACAAATTATGCTCGCAATCCAAGGTTTTACTGTATTTTATTTTTCCAAGTAAAATCTGCTGAGCTATATATCTCTTTTTCAGAAGTGACCTGGCCACAAATGATAGCTCAACAAAGTGGCTTATTGTGTGGAAATATATAGCAGTTAAATACTCTCAACATGTGATGTTGATTCTAAACGTGGAGGGAAAAACCGGAGCCAGAGAAAAATACACGCAACCATGGGGAGAGAGACACGCAAACTCCAAATATACAACAGGCGTCAGGGTCAGGATCGAACCCACAACCTCCTGCATAGCAGGCGAGGTAGTTAACATCTCCGAGCCACCGTGGCATCCCACACACAGTATTTGCCCATCCTAAAATGTTTCCCTCTCGCCCCAGTCGATGCGACAACAACCTGCACGTCGACGCCATCGTGGCCACGGTTAAGGCACTGCACCACGTCTGGCGTGAACGATGAGCAGCCACCCACGCAGCGCAGCTGAGGCACGGCGGCGGAGCGCCGGCCGGCTGTCATCTTGCCGGTGTGCAGAGTCAGCGCCGAGACGTCCCGCAGCAGCAAGCGGTCTGCACGGTCACGAGCACAGTTACGCACACGCGGTCACAACACAGGCACGCACAATCACGTTCTCAGTCATAGTCATGCATGAGTACACACGGAGTCACCAAAGGCACATACGGTAATGCAGACATCAATGAAGTGAAATTTTAGCTTGCAAAGATTTTTTTATTGTAAAGAATTGACCAGAGCTCAGCATTTAAAGTTTAAAAAGAACGATTTTAATCCACAAGCTTGTGGGCTGGCAACCCTCACAGATAAAAGTACTGGCCAAGACGACAGGGCCCAAAGATGTAATGTAATTAAATAAGCTGTGTTGGGTACTACTGCACTAAATTGTTAAAGCCTAACCCTACCCATAAACACTAAACTCTAACTCTAAGTTCATTAACCCTAAACCATTCACACTACACAAACAAAAGTAGCGACTTCCTTAATATTTAATCAACTGAAACCCAAGGTCGGTCCGTGATTGGTCAAAAATCTGGTTTATAATTAGATAAAAATCAACAGTGACATTAACCACTTCCAAGAGAAACTGCGGATAAACAGGAACCCCACGTAAAAGCATGATGACGCATTGGAAGAGGCCTCACCATTGCCAAAACCGCTGACGTAGCCGACGGTGAGAAGTAAGACAGCCAAGGCTGGTTTGAATGCCATATCGTTGGCCCTGCAAGACAAAAAAAATATATATGCGTTGGGACATGTGTGAGGATTAAACTCAATGTGCTCAACAACAACCCGCCATTCACCACTACAGGCTCTCACCTACCTTGACAGGCCAGTGTGATAACCGTTACCAATTGCTGCACTACAATGAGAATAAAGCACCATTAACCAGAGCATAGTTTTTTACACGTTCAGCCCTTTTGCAATCCACTGCTGGATCAGGGTCTCCCCACGCTATGCGGGTCGTGGGGTTGTGTGACCACACTCGCCACAATCGTCAGTGCGGGTCGAAGTTTCTTGGTGGTCAGTTTTTAGAGGCGTGTCCTGCCCAAAGCCCACTTTCGTTAATGAGTCAATTAAATAATGCAATGCACTCCAATATGGCTGACTTTTTTTTACAAAAGGTTAAAAAGTTAGCAAAGTAATCATAAGGGAGGCGTATGTTTGGAATTGCATTGAGCGACGTAAAGAGGTTACACGTGTATTAGGCAACATACCCAAGTTAGACGCATCATACTGCCGGATGTTCATGATGCAATCAAGGTGTTGATGATGCTGATTATGTGGTGACAATTATAATGACGCTTATGACAAGAGAAAATACAATGTTGGTTATGATGTTTATGATGATGTTGGTAGTGATGAGGACGCTTATGATGGTGGTGATGCTGTTTGTAATCTTCCATGATTTTGTAATGATGTTAATAACGATGCTATTCGTAATGATGACGACGGTGATGGCGGTGACAAGCAAACCTGCATTCGCATCATCACATCCACACAACCCTGATCCACACACGTCCCACCAACCCCATTCATCGCTCTTAAAGAACACCAAAACATTCACATACTGCAACAAATACACACATACTGCAACAAATACATACATACTGCAACAAATACATACATACTGCAACACATACACACAACGTTTAAAGCACCGTGAGCTATTACACGACGATCAATTTACAAAAGGCGATGATAAAACAATCTTATAATTTTCGCATTAATATTATGCTGTATTTAAATGAATTCGGAGTTTTCCCCAATTTTCTTGTTTGAAGAAAAATATCCTCCCCATGGAGGTTAGTCAGTTCCAAATGTAGGCTTATCGCATGATACTATTTGTAATTACTAGCGAAACATTTAAAACGTAGGCTGCCGCCTGATGATGCTAGTTCTAATTAATCGCGAAACGTCGTACTCGGGATTGTAAATGTTGTGGATTAACTCTCCAACACACCCGTGTGCTGTATGAGTACCAACGTATTGGCACGTTCTAAGACTGGTGTAGACTGATCAATTTAAAAGACAATGTCATACATTACCAGAGCATGTTTTGTTTGCATGTTCACCACGAGTACTGAGTGTGCTCAATGCAGACATGATTCCTTGCAAACAGGTTTCAGTTAGGCGTTTGAATATCTTAAACACAAACTGTTTTATTGCCAGAAAGGCTAACACCCATTCTTACACTTGGCACATTGTTTACGTGACACAAAATAAAACCCCTCCGTGGCGGCTTTAAAGACACATTTATATTTACGCGATTTAACAACAAAAAAACAAACCACCCCCCCTGTAGCCTACCGCGTGTTAAACTATATTCAAGTTAAATTTTGATTTAAAGCTTTCGTGACTGCAGTAATTCATATTCTTAGCTCTTTCGGTAAAGTCACGTAGAAGGGAAACAATAAAATAATACAAATATATATATAAAACAATAAAAAATTCTCACTATTGTTTTATACATATTTTATTGTTTCGCTTCTAGGTGACTTTACCGAAAGAGCTAAGAATATGAATATATATTCAAGTTATATTCATAGCGCAAGCTCTCCCGTAAGCGACGCGCGTCTTGATGTGGGCCCAAACACAGCCCGGGCTCGCCTAATTCATCCGCCCACCACGGCCCGCTACACGCACTCGATAGACGGCAAACATTCGCCTCCATTCACTCCTCACGTCGTGTTGCCTCTCGCTCGTTGTCGCCCTTTCTCTCTGCGACGGTTGATTCGATTTATAAGTATCATGCGACGCGTTGACGCAACTTACAGCAAGCGACTTCCGCGCCAGTTGAAGACGTAGGAGGTGGTGGGGGAGTAATAACGTCACACGCGAAACGTCGTCACACACAAATTACGTCATTCGGTTTATTGACACAAGCAGTTGGGGTCCAGACTTTGGTTCTTTCGGTAAAGACACGTAGGTGTAAAAATAATAATAATAATAAATAACTATTAAAAATCACGACGTTTCGATTGCAACGCAAGCAATCATCATCAGGTGTGATAACCACAGCAAGGACATTTTTACTGAAGTGGAAGCAGTTGGGGCTTTCATGTTCTTTCGGTAAAGTCACGTAGATAGAAAAAAAATAACAATAAAATAATACAAATGAAAAGAAAGCGAATAATAAATAATAATAAAAAGATCAATATCACGACGTTTTCATCGCGATCAATAATTATTAACCTATCTACGTGACTTTACCGAATGACCCAAATAATTATTAACCTATCTACGTAACTTTACCGAATGACCCACATAATTTGATATGCATCTGTCAACCCCTTATCAGTGCCCTACCTTATTACGGACCAATTCAGACCTTATTGGTCACTCCGTGCCCCTTTTAAATATCAACGTTTATCCTACAAAGTCTCCATCACAAGGGAGAAACACAAATACCGTATATATTTTAATTTGTCCGTATTTAAACTGTTGTACGCCGTATGGACCTGAAAACTCAATTTCCCTGTCCACGAATACGGGGTAAACCGTGTGGGTTCACAGCTCTGGTGGCGCACGAATAACACAAACAAGTCAAACACGTTCGCTAGAGCTGCAATGTGGTTTAAAATAACTCACAAACCACGTGGTCGTGAAAGACCCAACGCAGAAGATCCCCCCGGAGTTTGATTTTCCACGAAGCTGCTCATGGTTCCACCCTAATTGCATCTACTGCACAAACCATGGCAGTATATGTATTTATACTGAAGGAATACGATGAGCTATTAAGCTCTTTTTCCACAAATGTCCAGTAAGGGGCCGTCAATAAATGACGTCACGCACCTAGAGAGGGGGGGGGGTCAGACATTTGTGACGATGTGTGACGAGAGGGGTTTGGAGATGTGACGTCACATCAAAATGCGCAACTTTAAATAAACATAGACAACACGTTCTACTTAATTAAATAGACTTTTTAATAAATGTTTTCTCCTGCAACATCAGAGTGCAGCGCCACATTAAATACGCACTACAATGACAATAGTTATAAAGTTATTTGAAGCATGTTTTATTTTGGGGGGGGGGGGGACAGAGCTTTGTGACGTCATATTTGAGGGGTGTTTGACTTTTTGTGACGCCATGTGACGAGGGGGGGTGTCAAAAAATCGTCCAAAATCGCGTGACGTCATTTATGGACGGTCCCTAAGGCGGGGGTGCGTGTCATAAAGGTCCAACGAACAATAACAAACACGATAGGAGTGTAAAGCATTGCAAAGGTTAGCAAATCACGACAACAACAAAAAAACAACTAAAACTGTTTTTAATATATCACAAGCGACCTGGCCACGATTTTGAACTGCCAGCTGTTTTTTTTTTATTATTGCACGCTTTTATTTAACTCACTCTCTCTGTTGTTGTTGTATCCTTAAATATTGTAATTCAATATTCTTGGTTGTTTCGGTAAAGTCACGAAAGCTTTAAATCGAAATTGTAACTCAATTTTAACCCACTTCCCAATGTGGTATCGACTGCAAACTTGGTATACTTATGTCATACTGATGACAATACTATATTCTATAAACATATCTATTTTTAAACAATATTTTTTATAGGTTAGATGTTTCGGCTTGGGTCGAATTGTCCACGCTCAACTGACGTTGGCTGTAATTGGCCACGGCCCCTTATGTTGTGGCACGCTTCGGGGCCACTTCCTGGAGTCGTGGAGTTTTTCCATTACTAGCACGGTACATTTCATTAAAGCGTGTTTAAAAAAAAAGTATTTTTAAAATATTACTTTTTTCTTGTTAGGTGTGGGTCCTAGGCCCACGCGATACTGATAAATGCACAACACACAATAACCACGAGCGCCATTGCAGAGGTGGAATAAAATACAGCAGCGAGGCCTTGGGGTTGCTGGGTTGTGAAATAAATAATTGTATTGTTTTTTTGTCGGTAAGGCAGAGGCAGAAATGTAAATTCCGTACCGTGTTACGCGACGACGTCATCAAACATTTCAGGCCGCGTGTTGAAATTTGACGTCAGAAAGCTTTTACCTGATGACGTAACCTTTACCTTGACGCAACACGTCATCCAGACTCCAGAGTGTTGCCCCGTGGTTTCCGTGGATCTAAATAGGGTGACGCGTTTACAGTTTAACGTTTCGACGTCTCTCATTACGCGATGACGTGACACCAAAAGTAATACCACGCGATTCGCCACTAAGTGACGGTGACATCACCACGGCGCCTGTGCCAGGCCAGGTGCACCTTGAGGCTACCACGTGAAGTGTCGAAGGCGCCGCTGCTGACAGGGGGTCTGGGAACAGACCCAGCAGGTGCTATGGGTTGGCTGACTGAGATGACCGGTAGATGCACCACCAGCTGTACCCCTACTGTGCCAGGCTAGGTGCAGGAGATCTTGGGACAGACCCAGCAGGTGCCATGGGTTGGCCGAATGAGATGGCCGGTAGATGCTCCACCAGCTGTACCCCTACTGTGCCAGGCTAGGTGTAGGAGATCTTGGGACAGACCCTGCAGGTGCCATGGGTTGGCCGAATGAGATGACCGGTAGATGCACCACCAGCTGTACCCCTACTGTGCCAGGCTAGGTGCAGGAGATCTTGGGACAGATCCAGCAGGTGCCATGGGTTGACCGAATGAGATGACCGGTAGATGCACCACCAGCTGTACCCCTACTGTGCCAGGCTAGGTGTAGGAGATCTTGGGACAGATCCAGCAAGTGCTATGGGTTGGCCGACTGAGATGATCGGTAGATGCACCACCAGCTGTACCCCCCTACTCTGCCAACATTCTGCATTTAACCGCCCGGCGCTCCGCTCGTTGTTGTGAGCGTCGCTCCTCTGCCCTCCGTTGTTGCTGGAGGGCGACTGCCTCCAACTGCCCAGCAGCAGCAGCAGCTGCGTCCTTCACGAGCCTCCTCCATAACAAAGACACAGAAACCCCGTATGGAATTAACAGACTGTTGGGCCGAGTGCTGTTAGCAAGGCCGGCACGGTACACGAGGGGGTGGGTGGCCAGCACCACGCCCGGCCGTCTTTGTCTCCCTCGTGGCGATGTTTACACAACGCGCCTAGGTACTCATTTGAGGCTGAGTCGACCTAGGAGAGGCCCGGGTCCGGTTCATGTAATCGTCACTGCTGGTGTTGGCCATGGAGCGGGACTCGAACTCGGGTGGCCGGGTTCCTAGCGCAAAGGAGCGCTAACCACGATACATGACGTAACACACGCAAATACGGGCCGCGCGCGATGACGTCAAAGCGCGTTTACCGCCCTTTCTTTACGCTCACCGCCGATGGTGAACGCGCGCTATGACGTCACGTGTGCCCCACCCCCCCATTAAGTGAGTTGGAGGGAGGAGGCGGCGGTAGTGGTGGTGGCTGGGGTTTGGTTCCCGGTTGAAGATGGCATCGTACACACCGGGTGAATCATTCTCCACAGTCGTGGTACGGAAACTAACGCCGCTCTCTCTCAGTCTCTGTCTCTCTCGCAGTCTCTGTCTCTCACTCTGTCTCTCTCTCTCACTCTGTGTCTCTGTCTCTGTGTCTCTCTCAGTCTCTGTCTCTGTGTCTCTCACTCTGTCTCTGTCTCTCTCTCTCTCAGTCTGTCTCAGTCTCTGTGTCTCTGTCTCTCTCTTTGTCTCTCTCGCAGTCTGTGTCTCTCTGTTTCTCACTCTGTCTCTCTCTCTCACTCTGTGTCTCTGTCTCTGTGTCTCTCATTCTGTCTCTGTCTCTCTCAGTCTGTCTCAGTCTCTGTGTCTCTGTCTCTCTCTCAGTCTGTCTCTCTCTCAGTCTGTCTCTCTCACAGTCTCTGTGTATCTCTGTGTCTCTCTGTCTCTGTCTCTCTCTGTCTCCCTCTGTGTCTCTGTCTCTCTCGCAGTCTCTGTGTCTCTCTGTGTCTCTGTCTTACAGTCTGTCTCTCTGTGTGTGTCTCTCTCAGTCTCTGTCTGTCTCTGTGTCTCTCTGTGTGTGTCTCTCTCAGTCTCTGTCTGTCTCTGTGTCTCTGTCTCTCACTCTGTCTCTCTCTCACTCTGTCTCTCTCAGTCTGTCTCAGTCTCTGTCTCTCTCAGTCTGTCTCAGTCTCTGTCTCTCTCAGTCTGTCTCAGTCTCTGTCTCTCTCTCAGTCTGTCTCTCTCAGTCTGTCTCAGTCTCTGTCTCTCTCTCAGTCTGTCTCTCTCAGTCTGTCTCTCTGTGTGTTTCTCTCAGTCTGTCTCTCTCGCAGTCTCTGTCTCTCTCGCACTCTCTGTCTCTCTCTGTCTCTGTGTCTCTCTCAGTCCATGTCTCAAGTCCCTGCGTCTCCTCTCTGTGTCTCACGCCACTACGGACCGCCGTCTCTCCAGCTCCCCGCTCTAGGCCCGGGTGAAGTCGCTCGCTCACGGCAGGCCATGCTTGGGGTGGCCCTCTCACCCCCCACCCCCCCCCCAATGCCGATGGAGGGCGCGGTCCACTCCTCTCTCGACTTCTTCCTTCCCCACGACTCACGTGGAGATCGCAGAGCGACAACTTACAGTGGTCACAACAATACGAGGTGGTCAGGCCAGACCAGAAGTGACCGCGTATGTTGCGGCTCCGGGACATTGCGTCGTTCGAAAACGTAGTTAGGCGACTCTCTGTTCTGGATGACCGCAGTGGCTCCCAACTACTTACTGCCGCTGGATAAGTTATGTTCGTTTGTTTGTTACATTTTGTGCATCATCAGGTTATCCGGCATCTACTGCCGCCACGGTTTGTGCGGTGAATGCGATTCGGGGTGGAACCACGAAGCAGCTTCGTGTAAAGTCACGTAGGTGAAAAATAAAAGTTAATTAAAGCTCTCTTTTTTTTCCCCCACCTATTTCAGCAACTTGTTTTGTTGTTGTTGCTGTGATTGTTCCCAACTGATGACGGACGCTTGGTTGTGTTGCATCCGAAACGTCGCGATTTCATTTACTTTTATTTACTTTTCACCTGCTACGTGACTTTACCGAAAGAAACACAAACAGCATGGAATCCTTGCAGTCGCGAAAACCTCAAATCTAGAATGAGCTTCGTTTAAGATCAAACTCCCACTCTCTTAATTGTCCGGAGCTGGATCTAACTCGTGTTAGTTCAACCGGTTAACAGCTTCACATCATTTTAATGGGCACTGCGATATAAACTTCGCGAGACACCAACCCCCCTCTATTTGACAGTGCTCTGTACTATTTTGACGGTGCTCTGTACTGTCTACTTACGCATCGCTCTCGTGGGTTTGACACGTGACGGGCGTGGCACGTGTTCGTGACACCCATACTTCACCACAGCTGCGATCGCTGCGTGAGACCAGGTTTGTTATCTGAACTCATCCCCCGGGCCTCCTCTAGGTCGACTCGGCCTCAAATGAGTACCCACTGGGGAGACAAAGGCGGCCGGGCGCGGTGCTGGCCACACACACACACACCCTCGTGTGCCGTGCCGGCCTTCGTAGGTGCCGTTCGCTAACAGCACTTGCCCCCAACAGTCTGTGTTAAGGCTACACGGGGGATCTTTGTCTCTGTATAACTTTACTGATACCGGATACAAGTTTTTGGGTGCGTCTTACATACGCGTCAACCCCTTATCAGTACCGACCTTATTACAGGTCAATTCAGACCATATTTGGTCACCCGTGCCCTGATACATCTCAACGTTCATCCTGCAGAGCCCCCATCCCAAGGGAGAAACGCAAACGAATAGACGCAAAATGTGCCCGTATTAAAACGGCTGTAGGCCGTATGGACCTGCGAACTCGATTTCCTTGCACAAGAATACGAGTAAAACGTATGGGTTGACAGGTATGGATGGTCTCACTCACTTTATGAGCCTGAGTATAATACCGTGTTTGCCACTGGTTTTTAGCCTGCCCCGCCACTCCGACTCAATTGATTTACTGCTGGCAAGTTATGCCTAGATTTGAACCACCTGTTAAAGTTCCCCCCCCACTGTGAGAATTCACAGGTTGACTTTTTAAACTCGGGGTTGCGTCAATCGAGATGGATTGTGTTAAGTGCGGTTGCCTGTGGTCTCACTTAAGATGTATTGATTTTGATTTAACAAGGAGATAAACTAAAACTAAACTTTATTTGTTATTTTACCAGGTAAGGCCCACTGAGCTATGTAGCTCTTTTTTTCAGAAGCGACTTGACTATCACAAATGATAGCTCAACGGAGTGGCTTATCACGTGGAAAATTATAGCAGCCAAGCACTCTAAACGCGCGATGTTGATTCTAAATGTGGAGGGAAAATTCGAGGACCCGGAGAAAAATCCACGTGTGCACGTGTAGAGAGAGAGACACCGCAAACTCCAAATATACAGCAGGCGTCATTTACGGATTCCTGTTATGTTCTTGAGATTCGTTTTCCTCCGTTTAATAACATTTCCGTAACGATAGTCATTGTCTTTTTTCATTTATTTAGGCGTGAAGTCATTGATATTGATTTCCTTAATTGTATCAGGAGATCTCATTGGGTTTCATTACACCCTATGTAACCAGGTAATCATCTCATTGACATGTTTTGTTCATTGACCAGATGTTAAACACAGCCAATGATAATGATGATTACCAAATTATCAGATCTTGAAAGCTAAGCAGAACGTAACCTGGATAGTGCTTCGATGGGTGACCACCACGCAGAAACGGATGATCGCCGTCTGTTGTCCGGCAACGAGGTGAGCATCAGAGGGCAGTACAGCATCACTTGGACTGTACTTCTATGCTCCCACATCTGTGTTCCCCACTTTCAACCCCCCACGACCCGTACGGCGTGAGGAGGCCCTCATTCAGCAGTGGATTGACCAAAGGGCTGTACGCGTACGCACACACTCGCTTCGTGACGTTTGTGATGCTCAGTGCTGCATGAGGTTTTACGGAGACAATGCCAAGGGGTGTTTGATTTCATCGTGAAATATTTAATGACGGTCTGATCGGTGGGGATGAATTGAATGGGATGGGTGTGTGAGATCTGGGAGATCTGGTTGCTGTGGATTAGTGGGTTGGGTGGAGAGAGACCATTCGCACCCTCCCCTCTCTTTATTGTGGCAACAGCTCCTTGTGTTCAGAGTGGCTTGGCTTACAAACCAGTCGTTACTAACGAATAGCACTCAGAAAATGTTGGTGGCAAATTTCACGATGAAGAATAACTCGATTAACAAAATAAGCATCCTGATAATTATCAATCGTGATCATTCCACCGATTAAGGCCTCCACAAGGCGTTGCCAACTCTTGCGATGCGACATTCTGATTGTCGGAAATACAGCGGAGTGGAAGGTGGCAGCCTTCACGAGGTCAACTCTGTTAAGTGAGAAATCACGTCGAAAATGCCATCAGCGCGACGACCAAACATCGATCATCGATCTCCAGAGCAACGACAACACACGCACGCTACCACCAACACCACCATCACTATAACCACCATCACCACTACCAACATTGATCATCGATCTCCTGAGCAACAACAACACAAGCCACGCCAACGGCCCTGTTCATGGCCGAACAGCGTGTCAGATAGACCCCCGAGAACAAGGATCCTCCAACTGAACATTGATTGGGCTCATATTCTTGGTTCTTTCGGTAAAGTCACGTAGAAGGGAAACAAATTTTCTTGCTGTGGTTTTCACACCTGATGATGATTGCTTGTGTTGCAGTCGAAACGTCGTGAGAATTTTATTGTTTTATATTTTTATCATCTTATTGTTTCCCTTCTACGTGACTTTACCGAAAGAACCAAGAATATGAATCCCTGCAGTCACGAAAGCCTTAAATCAAAATTGATTGGACTCTCGCGGGCGAATTGCGAGTATCTCGGGAACAAAATTAAGACTTTGATGTCCTGACACTGCAAGAAACTCACATCTTGGATGCCCTAAATTCCATCGACACGACTCGAATTCTACAGTGCCTCCAGAGCCAGCACTGGCGTGGCTCTGTTGTACAGTGGAAGAGAAGACTCAATAAATCAATGTATATCGCGCATATATATAATACAAAGCCTGTACATGCCTTGTAGTTTATAATTGGCAAAGCAGTGCACCCTGTGTATTGTAATCTAAAATAAACGCTTACATTACAATTAATTTACTGCAATTAAGGAATAAGACCATAAAAGCAGATACCCAGGCTCTCCTCGTGTATGTGCACCATATTGCAGGTGAACTTGTAATAACCTCCCTTTATTTTACACTTGCTGATCCTCGTTTCCATGCAGCTCTATCCGGTCCGTCTCGCACGCCCCCCCTCCGTGGCTCCGTCCCCCGCTGTCGCTCGCGCACACCCCCTGCATCCGGCACCAATGCACGCGACCAACTGCTCGAATAAGCCGACACCTTGCCCTCCGCATGCCCGGCATTCCGGGCCTCCCCCCCCCCCCCCCCGCTTGTACGTTGCACGGTCCGCTCGTAATAACCCCACCGCCGTGCCTTGTCATTTGCCGGCCCCCTTGATCAGCCACTCCGCTGCTGGATGAAGGTCTAGCCACGCCGCACGAGTCGTGGGGCATTGCTTGACCATACTTGGTGCACGCCGGTCGGTGCAGGGCGGGGACCAACTTGGTTACGGGTGCAACCGCTTGTGTTCGAGAACGGTCATAAAAGCTGATATCACAGAACTACCTCTGAGGTCTCTAAGTGACCTCTGATCCACACAGTAGGTGGCAGCACTTTCTTACCCACTCGGCAACGACATCGTGGTCTTCACATGACACTCAAACAATTATAGCTTTAATTCTTCTGAGCTGGACATGAGCCAATGTGATGTTTGTGTGTATAGCCATTGGTGACCAGGCTGAGATGTATGTAATGTTGAACTTCTTTCACACCGTACGTAGCGAACCATGCTAATCTGAGGTGCGGTATTCACTGCAATGAAAATTCATGTTCATAACAGGCAGCTGGAACCTGGATTCACGTTTAAATTCCCTGTGCGCATTGCGTTTGAATAACGCCCCGCGTCCCCCCCACCCACCCCGGTAACAGGAGTGCATTGAAGTGCGGAAACTGCGGCAAGGAGACAACCTGATCCTGGGCTTCAGCATCGGAGGCGGCATCGACCAGGATCCGGGCCAGAACCCATACTCTATGGACAAGTCCGACAAGGTCACTCCCCTCCCCTCCCCTCTTCTCCTGAGCCAGTCCTTGACTTTACACTCAATTACTCCACTTGGTGTCCCAAGGCCATATTGTCCAGTACCCTTTGTATGCGTGTAATCCATGCACTGATTTATTTAAATGATTATCTTCTTCATCGGGCACATCATCCTTTCCGGGGGTCAACAAAACTTGGCACCACTTTGTGGAGAAGTCGGCAGTGGTTGTCCGATGCCTAGACTATGCCCCTGCCATACTACTGTGCAGTTTCCATCAACTGGCTCAGGACTGTAAAAAACGGAGATGAATAATCACGAAGTGCTAATTTGGGGCATGAAATTATTGACTGCTTAATACGAGCATAAAACTGTGGTCGTGGTAATCATTTCGTTTCGAATTGTGTTTTGTAATCGAGGCTTAATTTAAGCCGGATGGGTGCTGGTCAGTGACTCGGGGAAAATATTGATGCATCCAAGCGCACCGCATCCACCATACGATGTCTGTAGATACAAGTCACACGCCTCCTCCCAGTTTACCAGGCACCTGGAAAATATTCGGTGAGAAATTAAGCTCTGGTTGTTTGCGATTTGATCAGCAAGCCCGACAGCCACTGGAAGCGCTGCATTCACCACAGTGGGCAAAACAAAATCAACCGTTGAATTAAAAATAACCAATTCTTATGCCCTTGATCCACTACATGTATGTATGTATTGTGGACAAAAGACCTTATAGTAATCAATTGTTGCATAACTCAAACTTTTCCTGGGAATAAAAATAAAGCAGTAACGACACTCTAGAAAAACATGTAATTCTCGAGATAGCTTTCGAGTTCAGGTCTATCGATCATACCGTCGGTCGCCCAAACAATCTCGGCTTCTCGCTAAAGTACACAACCCTAACCCTGTCATGAACCCATGCTTTCCCCACCCCCAGGGTGTCTACGTCACCAAGGTGGCTCTAGGTGGTCCAGCTGACCTCGCCGGACTCAAAATCGGGGACAAGATCATGCAGGTGAGACGACGCGGGTGTTCTTTACATACACAAGACAAAGACCCCCCGTGTAGCCTTAACAGACTGTTGGGGCAAGTGCTGTTAGCGAGCACTTATGAAGGACGGCACGGCACACGAGGGGGTGGGTGGCCAGCACCACGCCCGACCGCCTTTGTCTCCCCAGTTGCAATGTTTACAACACCGCACCAGGTACCCATTTAATACTGCGTCTACCTCAAGGACGGCCATGACCGGTTCATATAATCGTCACCTGGTGTTGGCCGTGAGTAGAAATCGAACTCTGGTTGCCGGGTTCAGTGGGCAGCGCGTCAACCGCTACGCTACCGCTCCCCATTCGCACGCATGCACACACACACACAATTCGACGAGTGTGCGGTGAGCGTGGAATCCGATTTCGGTCCATGAATTGGGTGCATTAACTTGACTGACATCGCCGCCACGCCTACCACCACCACCGCCGCCACCATCGCTGCAGGTGAACGGGTGGGACATGACGATGGTGACGCACGACCAAGCTCGCAAGAAGCTCACCAAGAAGAACGAGGAGGCGGTGCGGCTGCTGGTGACTCGCAAGTCCCTGCAGAACGTCGTGCACCACGCGCAGCTCTGCTAGGGGTGTCGGCCAAGCCATCGTGCAGGCAAGTGTGGCCGCCTCTTTTAAACGTTTCTGGTGCACGCCCGTGATCCAACGTTGCGGAGATGAGGGGTTGGTGGACCCGCCTATAGATCTGTGAAACTGCCAAGCCCATTGGGCTGCTGCAGGTGTACTGGAGATGGCATTACAGGAAGTGGGTACTTAAAACCATCTGTGTGGACCTTTTCATGTTATGTTTGCTGGGTTTTCCATCTTGTACTCCAGTTTGGGCAATGCCTGTGCATTTTGCTTAACGGTTTCGATTTTTTGACATTGGTATGTTGACTGTGCACCATATTGTTACGGGAAGTTCCGGTAGGTGTATCGTAGGGTTGCTTGCCGAGATGTAATTTTTCACGATACGACACCGTGTTAATCTTCGCGGATATGCCGAATTATAACAACGACGGGGTTCCTGTGACTTTGCAATCGTAGTTTGTCCAACAGTTTTAATGGATGGACATAAGGGCTGCGCGTGTACACTGTGTTGGGTGAAACCCATCGCCGCTTCTGTTTTGGCAGGAGCGGCCGTCTGAACACCGCCACTCTGGGACGACGCCTCGTCCGTCACGGTACAAAGTGTGTGTGCGGTGTGCGCTCCCTCTCTCTTCCTGTCCGACCACCAGGAGGAGGACTCGCTTTGCAGCAGTCCCGAAAGAGCGTCACTTCCACCACGGCGACACCTTCCCCCCAACCCCCTCCCCGACGGACACCTCTCTACAAACCGACTGCCACACCGCGCGTTTCCAGCGTCGCGTACGCTTCCCTCGTCGCCTGCGTTAAAGCAGGGGGTTGAGGAACCTACGGTCCACGGCTACGTTTTAACCTACCATTTCAAAGCGGGCTCCGAACGGTATTTATCGGTCTCTGCGAGCATCTTGGCCACGCCAACTAGTGCACGAGAGTGGAATATTATCAAACTGGCAATGCAGCGGCGTTTTCTAATTTTAGCACGGTCACTTTCGTCACTTGTCATACTGCAAGTGCTTGAAGTGTGTGTGAGTGTGGCCACGTGTATAGCCCCGCGAAGGATTTCGAAGGTTCGAATTTATCCCTCGGTCATGAAAAGGTTCCCCTCACCCCTTCTTTCGTGGGAGAGGTCTCAAACAGCCGTGGCAGGATGACGATGGTGTGGTGGTGGTGGCGGCGGCGGCGACCGGTTTGTAAACCTCCCACGAGCCACGTTTGTCAGTGGAATTGCTGCCAACTTGTTTACGAAGTGAGGTACGTTTAGGAATTCTGACAAAAACTCCTGCCAGATATTAAAAACCACATTTTAAGTCATTTTCTTCCCCAATGTTATCCCGATTGGGTTGTGCGATTGGATTCATGTTATGATACGAAAATCCCATAAGCACTGGTGGAGTCAGTGGGGGGGGGGGTGGGGCGGCACGTTCCCCCCAATGATCCGATTGAAATCCCTAATTTCGATCGGATCATTGGGGTTTATTAGTAATAAATCGGCATTTTGCGACCCCCCACTGCCACTGTGTAACATTATTACGTGCCAGGAACTCTATGAGATGATAGGACAATAGTCTGAGTCCATAATTGGCAATAAGTAATGGCAAAGTAGTTATAAGTGACTCTCAGAATTGTGCCCAGTTGCGTATACAGTACACGACTTCCCTAAAGGCATTCACCTTCGGCGAGCGCGATGCCGATCACACAACGCGGTTCGAATTCGACCCTCAATCGATGGCTGCACCATCACCGCACACGCGTCGAATAAAAAGCAAGGGACAACTCCTCTTACTTACTAACAACTCCTCTATCAGTTTTCATTGCTGGAGGGGTTGCCCCCCCACCTGAAAATCCTGGCTCTGCCATTGCCCATAAGGCTGTACAACCCTTTGTGCTTGAGAACGGCCCATTTAAGTGAATCCGAAATCTCCTTAAAACTGTAAACTTTTTATTTTACCAGTTGAGGCCCACTGAGCTCTATAGCTCTTTTTCATAAGGGACCTGGCCACATAATAGCTCAAGAAAGTGGCTTATCACGTGGATATTTATAGCAGCCAAATACTATAAATGTACATTTCTAAATGTGGAGGGAGAAACCGGAGGACCCGTAGAAAAATCCATCCGACCTACGGGGAGAGAGAACACGCCAACTCCAAATATACAGCAGCAGGCGTCTGGGTCTGGATCAAACCCACGACCTTCCCGTATACCCAGCGAGGGAGATAACATCTCGCCACAGTGGCGCCCCTTGGTTCACACAGTAGAGGGCGTCACTTTCCCACACGCTCCACCATTCGAGTGTAATATTTATCACGTGATGCTGCTACTTTTCATTCACAGCTGGAAATCGGTCATGTTACGTGCAGACCCAAATTTTGTTGGAAAATTGGGTGACCGGACTGAAACCCGTCAATTGCACTACACTCGGGACACACCCAGTTTGTTCCACAGATGCCTGACACCTCGACTCGAGCCCAGCATCTCAACAGGGGCTGGCTCAGTGCTCTGATCTCTGCGCCACCCAGCCTTCATTTTTGGCAGACATTTTATACGAGAGCAAGCGATGGGGCACAATCTGCAATCCTCGTGATTCTCTCTCGAACTCTCCTGCACCACATTCCGTGGCCCTGGTGGGAATTGCTAACACAGTCTGTTCTGCAGAACACGTTCCTGAAGAACACGCGTTATAATAAGTAATATATAATATAGGCTAAAGCACAGTCCGCGATAACACATGAGATGAGTACGCAGGCTGAACAAAGACTGAGGTGCGTGAGTAGCATCTTGAGGCATCCAGCAGCATCCCGCCTTGTGCGATGCTATGGCGAGGCAGCCGTTACGACCACTTATTCCCACTCACACAACATGCTTCCATGCACTCATTCGCGTTATATCCAATTCGCGTTGTGAAAATAACACGCGGCGTTGCGGCGGAACAGACTAGTTGTGAATTATCCCAGTGGATGGCGGCAGCGATCACAAAAATGTGAGCAAAGTGACGGCTCCCGCTCCTGTAATCCTCGTCACCCGTGACGCACGTCTCTTTGCCTCGGCCGTTTACAGGCCCCATGTGGCAAACAGCGCCTTGCTGTGGCAAACGTGCAATCGGTGTATTTCCCCCGCAAAGAAAGGCGTCACTTGTTTTGCCCCGTGACCGGGCGTGAAATACAAAAGGCCTTCCTCCACGGGTGGGAACGGAACCCGTACCGTTTTATCCTTGCAGGGCTTACAAAAGAGAAGTGCCTTTTCTTACATCCTTCCACCTGCCTGCCAGTTCTGATATGGAGATGTTCTCACTTAGAACACACGACTACCGCACCCACTGTTGCACTGAATGATGGTTATGTAGGTCGTGTATGTGTGTGTGCACGCGCAGTCTTATCACTGTTAATTTGAGGGTACAGCATCATCGCTATTATCATGGACACCAGATTACACATTGTAATGTCAGTTATTACCCGTTATTGTCAACGCTAAGGTCTTCATTATCAGCGTCATCATAAACATTGTCATCGTCAATGTAATCATCGTCATCGCTGTGGATTATGGCACGAGTTCCATTACACGTTGAATCAACATTCATTACGTATGCATTGAGGTTATATCATTAATTTTATACCGACAAATACTGTACACATTGAATGTAACCTAGTTTTTCTTTAAAACAAAGCAATAAAATGTGCTGAAGTTTTCTTGCCGAGGTCCGTGTATGGTTTCTTTTTACACGGAGCAAAAGTGGTCTTATGTTCACTGAGTGCCACGGTGGCGAGGAGATGTTAACTACCTTTCTTGGTGTACAGGAGGTCGTGGGTTTGATCCCAACCCTGACACCTGCATATTGGAGTTTGCAAGTGTTTCCTGGTCCTCTGGTTTTCCCCTCCGCATTTAAAAACATGCGTTTAGAGTATTTGGCTGCTATAAATATCCACACGATAAGCCACTTCGTTGCGCTATTGTGTGGCCAGGTCGCTTCTGAAAAAACTGTATGGCTCGGTGGACCTTACGTGGTAAAATAAAAAATAACTTTAGTTCATAGTTTAGCTCAGGGTGTCTACCTGCTCCAGTGAACAAGCTTTTCTTTCCGGGTTTACATCGCAAACGTTATCTTTACACTTTACAATTAAGCTTGAAACCATTCGTGCATTCGATATTCATGCTTTGGCGTTTGAATCGCACTTGTGCAGTTCGCCTTTGGCGTCCTTCTAGTTACCCTTTGGTCTCTTGCACCGGTGAGACAAAGCCATAAAAAGAGGCTCTCTGGTGTCGGCCAATCGGTTTTAAGGACAATTACGTAACATCAAAGCATATTTGTTTGCACGTTTTTGCCACAAGTATGTGTGGTTAATGCACAATCGATACATTGTAATGTGTCGTATTTGGTGTTTGAGCATCTTGACACCCCTTGTATTATTGCCATAACGGTAAAGCCCATTTTCATCATCTCGATACGGGCAAAAAAGGGTCCGATAGACCTTAGCTGTTGTTACTCTGCTGCTGTCACGTTGCCTGCTGTTGCCGCCTCTCGTTGCATCAGCAGCTACTCCTGATGATGCTGCTCCTGATGCTGCTGGTGCTGCTGCTCCTGATGCTGCTGCTCCTGATGCTGCTGCTGCTGCTGATGCTGCTGCTCCTGATGCTGCTGCTCCTGGTGCTGCTGCTCCTGATGCTGCTGCTCCTGATGCTGCTGCTCCTGATGCTGCTGCTCCTGATGTTGCTGCTGCTGATGCTGCTCCTCCTGATGCTGCTACTCCTGATGCCGCTGCTGCTGATGCTGCTGCTGCTGATGCTGCTGCTCCTGGTGCTGCTGCTGCTGATGCTGCTCCTCCTGATGCTGCTGCTCCTGATGCCGCTGCTCCTGATGCCGCTGCTGCTGATGCCGCTGCTGCTGATGCTGCTGCTGCTGATGCTGCTGCTGCTCCTGATGCCGCTGCTCCTGATGCCGCTGCTCCTGATGCCGCTGCTCCTGATGCTGCTCCTCCTGATGCTGCTGCTGCTGCCACCGTTCACCGCAGGCGCTGTCAGCGCCCGTCACGCTGCTCGTCTCCTGTGATTTTAATAAAAAAAAAGCGCCGCCACCGCTGTCTTCGCTCCCTCTGATCCTTTCCGGCCCGAATTAATCAAAGGAAGCAAATGCGGAAGGATGAGATCAGCTCGGCTGGCCAGGCAGGGCCACGAAGATCCCCGTTTGAGTCGCCCCCCCCCCCCCCCTTTGCCCCCCTTTTGTTGCTCCTTTCGCGTGTGTCGGAGCACAATGAAGGGATTTTTTGTTTTGTTTTGCCGCGGTGCTCGACTGCGTTCAATGTGTCGGGCCGAAAAGGAGGAGCACAAATTTTTGTTAGTTGGCCCTGGTTACTCCGCGGCCCGCGCGCGTTGTGGAAGAGCGGCTGCCGATCGGGAGCTGAGCGTCGTCTTCCCGGCACCGATAGCGGAGACGGGATGGAGGGGGTTGGGGAGAGTTAATAACACTTCTCTCCGGCTCTTTCAGCTCGCGAGTAATAAACGCGATGGGAGATCGAGTGACCTCAAGTCTGGCTCTCGGCACGATGTGCATCGCCGCACGAATTCTGCAATTGCAAGTTTGTACCCAAGCGGGTGCATTTGCGTCGTTCACATTGCGGGGGGACTGAAGGACTTCAACCGGACGTTTATTGGCATCGATTTTTACGACGGCAAGGTCTGACAATGTATTCGGTAGTGGTGCCATTGGACGAGGGTCATTCAAGGTGAACCTGCATGTCGTCAAAAGATTTTTTTTTAACGTGAATTAAACAGACCCTATATTTTTGATCAAGGTAATATTATTCCCCGACTGCACGATCCGCATTCGTCCTATCCGCGTTATGACGCCTTGCCGCCAGGAGGGCCGATGTTTTAAGGAGAGGTAACGCACGCATTTCAGGATAAACTTTTGAACCGTTTGCACCGCCCGAATGCACCCGTTGAAAGGCGCGCGTCGCCGAAGCGTACCGATAACCGGTAAATTTCCCGGAAACGCATTTAACTGGATGCACGAAGCCTGTAAAACTAAACTATGTTTGACAGCTTTTTTTTTAATCAAAAGCGACCTGGCAACAAATGATTGCTCAACGAAGTGGCTTATCGTGTGTGCATTTCTAGCAGCCAAATATTCTCTACAGTACATGTTTCTAAATGTGGAGGTAAAAACCGGAGGACCTTGAGAAAAATCCACGTGACCACAGGGAGAGAGAGAGACACGCAAACTTCAAATATACAGCAGCAGGCTTCTGGGTCGAGATTGAACCCACGACCTCCTGCATACCAGGCGAGGTAGTTAACATCCCGCCACCGTGAAGCCCTGTATGTTTGGTAGCACGGGTAGATTTATGCACCCATTTTATTTCGGCTGCTCTTGACCGTTTCCTTCAACAGAAACTTCACCATGCGAGCACGTGCCACCGTTTACTACCATTTTGGAAATACCCAGATTGCTTTGCGCAGCCCGTGACATCACAAACACGCTGCTGTATTTGCCACTACCACTGCATCGCTGTTATAGTTTGAATAATTAGCATTTTTATTTATAGTTGTGTTTTTATAGCATTTTAACACTAAGATTATATCGCCAGACGCTGTACAGGAATAACTATTTACATGATGATGTGTCGGAAACATCAATTAGTATCACTGCAAGGACCGAACACACGACAGGAACACGTACAATAAAAACACGGTTCAAATGTATAACATTTTAAAACCAAAACATCTCCAGAGATCTGTCATTATAGAATCATCTAGAACAGAGTGCAGGTTATCCTCGAATGACCCCTGTTGCTAGACAATGGGACGCTACCCCCCCCCCCCCCTCAACTCTGAGAGTCGCCACCTCTAAGGCATAACAATAACAAAGCATCACGGGAAGAATATATATATAATACCGGATAAGGAGGAAAACTAACTTGTAAACGCATTGTCTTGAGTGGTGCATCATCACGCACATTACAGAAGCTGGGGGCTTTCAATGTCCCAGGAAGACGTTTACACTTTTCACAACCCACCACCCGACAAAGTAAATTAGTAAGGTTTGTCACATTGACAAAACGTGTCCAATTAGTAACTACTTCGGCCCACCGGTGTGTTGGAGAGTAAATCCACAACATTTACAATTTGAGTACTGTCACGTTTCGCTGGTAATTACATCCAGCATCATCGGGTGATACTGCCAATTCTGGCAAAAACATTTGACAATGGGCTGAAGTAGTGACTAATTGGCAAGTTTTGTTAACGTGACAGACCTCATTGGTTGGCGGTGTCGGGTGGTGGCGGGTTCACGACACATTTATACTTACGCGAACTAACGCCAAAAAAAACCCTTTTATTATGAATAATATTGGTTGCGAAAGCCTACTAGGTGTCAAAGTGATATTTCTTCAGAACCGCTGCTGGGAGAAAAAACAAAACAACAAAGGACGATCATGGGACCTCCTTTGCCAGTACCAACATATAAGAATAGGTTTTCCCCTTTTTTTCTGGCAACAAAACAGCTGTGTTGAGATGTTAATACGCCAAACTGAAACCTTTTACAAGGAATCATGTCTGCATTAACCACAATACTTGTGGTCAAAATGCAAACAAAACACATGCCCTGATAGCATATGAAAAACATACTCAGATAGCATATGCGATCAGAGTGTTTTTTTATTGCATTCTGACCACAAGTATTGTGGTTAACGCAGACGTGATTCCTTGTAAAAGGTTTCAGTTTGGTGTTTTAACATCTTAACACAGCTCTTTTGTTGCCAGAAAACAGGGGAAAACCTATTCTCAACAAAGGACGATCCTTTGAGAATCTGTAAAAGTGGCAACCGCTCCTCATTTACATTTCATAGCACAGATGCACATACAGCCTCTCTATTTGGCAGCACTGATCGGCATAAACCCTTTACATTTCGAGGCCAGCGATACACGCCCCACGGCTGGGCCGTGGCCTCTGTACGAACGTGCGAAGACATCCACGAGATCAGTGTTCTTCATTCGTTTTGAGAGGGGGGGGATCACATTCGCCCATAAGACATCATCGGTGTGAGGGCCACCACACGTGTGAAGTCATTTGGTGTTTGACAGCAGCACGATGATGACGGGGGGGGGGTGTTTTCACTCTTTGTGTATTGTCGGGCGTGGGGGGGCGCACGTCAGGGGCCACACGAAAGGTCACCAGGGGCCACACGAAAGGCCACCAAGGGCCGCCAAATGGCCCGCGAGGACCTTGCAATGAAGAAGACTCCGTTAGAGGGACAGCTGCAGGAAGCTCGCCCCGGGCAGGGTGGCGAACTGTTCCTGCAGGAAGTCGCACTTGACTTGCGCGGCGGCGGTGCAGCCTGCATAGGTGTCCCACGGAGTGACCGCTGGGTAATGATGCAGCTGACGTTGCTGCTCGTGATGCTGATGAATCTGCTGCTGCTGCTGGTGCTGTTGATGTTTGTGTTGCTGAAGTTGCTGCTGCTGCTGCTGCTGCCGATTCTCACCCACCTCGAGCTCACAGCCCAGAGTCGGTCCAAGCCCGGCGCCGCCTTCGCCACGCAGAGCTCCGGCAGACGGAGCCCGCCGCTGGTGCCGTGCTGGTGCCCAGGGTGCGGTGACGTGCGGTTGCTGTCCGGCGGCAGCGGTGGCCAGGAGAGTTGGCGCGAGTGAGACGGCGATGGCAGTGGAGCTGGTGGCGGCGGTGGCGGTGGTGGTGGTGGTTGTGGCAATGCCAGTTGCGGGCGAGTTCTCCGCCTTCAGGCTGAGAGGCAGCTGGAAGGCGTAAACGTTGCCACTGTAACCTGGAAAGTGGGATTGAAAACGATCATCGGCTCGTATGTACCACACGGAATTCGCCCGATCTCATCAGACCTCGGAAGATAAACAGGGTTGAGTCTGGATGCTGCTTCGATAGGTGACATCCATTGCTCTCCAGGTTGTCACGGGGGGGGGGGGGGGCTGCGGGGCTCTACTACTTCGTGGGCAGCAGGGGCATTGAGGCAAAATGCATTGGAGTACGTACTGGACTGTGATCCTGTGGGGTGGAGTGGGTGAGTGAGTGGGTGGGAGAGTTAATGGGTGAGTTAATAGTTGAGTTGCTGAGTGGGTGGGTGAGTGAGTGGGTGTGTGAAAATATGGGTGGTGGTAGTGCAGCATGCTTGACGTGGGCCCTGCTGCACAGGATGAATTGTGAGCCCCGTGTAAATACACGTTCCCCCCTCTTTGCGGCTCCGCCACCTGGACCTTTCTTGCCCGCGGTGATGCCCGGTGCAGGTGCACCGCCTGCACACTCGGTGGCTACGCCCGCCTCTCACCCGTCGGCGACGCAGCAATTGTGGCGGAACCGGTGGAGGCGGCGGTGTCGTTGCTCCGGATGGGAGGGCCGGAGGAGCACGGTGTTGCGTACCGGTCAGCACGGGCGTGCGCCACGTGGCACGGGCCGAGCCGGTGCGCCGGCGTTTGCGGCACAGCCGAGCGGCACGTCGGAGGCATCGCCAACTGCTCCGTCCTGTGAATTGTGAACAATATTTTATCCCATCTGGTATTTGCGTCATGCTCACAGTGCAAGGCTGTCATAATAAAAATAAAATAGTTTAGCGTCAATATATTTACTTATGTATTTATGTTTAGTGATTTGTTTACCCTTACTATTACTTTGCACTCCAAAACTTTCTGACCCCGTGCCCCCTTCCTGGAACATGTGTGAAACAGACTTTGTAACTCGTCGGATTTCTCCTGCAGGATAAACGAAATATTCTAAATTCCATCACGACGGCGTGGCGTTTCACAGACGCGTACGCAGAGGAGCCTGCCTTGCGGGGGGCCGAAATTGTCGCCGATTGTTTTCGTTTTACACAATTAAATAATGAGTTTTTTTTTTGTTGTAAATTGGGAAAATTTGGACCGTGACTCCGGCACACATGGCCCGCTCTTCTTCGCATTGCCTCACGGGATGTTTATTGTTCACTGGGAAACCGATGGTTTTACTGAGTAGGAACAAGATACGTATTTGTATGTATGTTGAACTTCTTCCGCACCATACATGGCCCAACCGCGCTAATCGGAGGTGCGGGGGAAGGACGACAAACTAAACACAAAAAGCAGTTCTAAAGAAATGAGTTCGTCAATCTAGATTGATTTAAATGTGCATAGCTCCAGTGGCTAGCTAATATAGGAAGGAAGAGGCGTTCTAGACGGCCGCAGAAGTGCAACTGAAAGCGCTTCAAGGTGATCATAATATACAGGGTGGCCCAAAAGTCAGGACACATCGAATTGCTTCATTTATTTTAACACTGGCATTAAAACAATTTAATTAGCTCTTTAAGTTAATATTCTATCTATTATCATTAATATCAAAACATGATTGATGAATCATCAAAGGTTACACCTGTATAATTTTTTAAAGTCCTAAATTAATTTCAAAAGAAAATTCATGCGTGCATTCACGTCAATGGAAGTCTGTTTGAATGTTTGTTAAGCTAAATTAAGTAACCCTACGCGTCCTGACTTTTGGGCCACCCTGTAGAACATCGGCTGGCCTACGTCAGACGCCAGCATTCGGCCAGCAACGCTTTGCAGTCAGTTTCTGCAGAGGCCTCGAGCACGCGAAGTGAGACGTCACACTTCTATGTATTTAGTCCCAAAACATTATCCCCAATCGGGCCTATCGGCGGCAGGCCACGAGATGAATCACTCATTTGCATCTCTCGCAGAGCAGTGTGTGAACCTTCGTGATAGGGAACGGCCCACGGAAGTGGATGCCACGGAACTACCTCCGAAATACCTTCAAGTGAGCTACGGTCCTCGGGGTAAGCGGGCAGCACTATCCCACCCACTCTGCATATGAGAGCAATGCTCCTTGTATGCCCTTCTCAGCTTAGTCTTTTTTTAACGGAGTCAAGAGGTTTACTCATTGCTCTGCTCAGAACATTTTTTGTCCGTCCGTCCCAAGACACTTGATTTTACGAAAACTACAAAACCCCTTAAAACCATAGAAATAGGTTTTACCCTTTTAACTGGCACAAAAACTGACACCTTTATTCAAGGCATCATGTTTACAATAACCACAACACAAGCAGTCAAAATGCAAACAAGAGACAACTCTGATAATAATATTGGCACTGTCCTTGAAATTGTGCCAGTTAAAAGGGTAAAACCTATTCCTATATCTTGTTACTGGCAAAGGAGGTCTCATAATGTAAATGCTCACCCCGAGCCCTCAATACTCTGATAGTGCGCTGTTTTTGAGTTGTATGCCTTTTGGCGTCTTCTGGTCCAACACCAATGGAGACTAGGCTCTAAGAAATCTATCGGGGCCCGCGCATTGCCTCGATAAAAACAAAATAGATGTTGACTGTTGCGTTCAACTGCTGCGCCCGGGAGATTGAACCGGCGACCTCCGGATCGTAAGTCCAGTGCCGCGACCCATTACACAATGGGTAGCATCCCCCCAGCAACACGGAGGCTCACTTGATGGACTGGCTGCGGCCAACTTGGTTTGTTGTTATTGTAATCTCCCTCGAGGTAATTCACCCTTTTCACCCCCCAGGGCATTATGAACGTAAAATCTGAATGCGCAAATACTCTGCGGGACCTGTGTGTGCGTGTTTCTGGGATTTTAACATCCCCGAGGGGGGTTGGGGGGGGGGTAACGTTTCTGAAAAAGCGACGCCAGGCCGGCTTGTCGGCACAAAGTCCGCAGAGACCCGCGTCAAAGCGTCGGCGCTTTTTTCGCGAAAGCGTGGATTTTTTTTTTTAAAAAGTTAAAGTCTTCAATCTTGATTTGAAGCTTTCGTGACTGCAGGAATCCATACTCTTTGGTTCTTTCGGTAAAGTCACCCAAGTAGGTAGTAGAAAAATAAAATAAATCACGACGTTTCGATTGCAACACGAGCAATCGTCATCAGGTGGGACAACCACAGTAGGCCTAGCTCAGCAGTTTCTTCTTGCTGTGGTTGTCCCACCTGATGACGATTTGTTTGTGTTGCGATCGAAACGTCGTGATCTGTTATTTTTCTACCTACGTGACTTTGCCGAAAGAACCAAAGAGTATAAAATCTTCTTTGTTCATCACAAAGCAATCCTCGTTTTTCATTAAAGGTGTCGTGCGTTGATGGCCTCGGCACAACCACCAAATGATTGCTACCACAACAAAAAAGTACGTGGGGTTCTGCACTTCATTTGGCAAAATGTCAGCGCTGGGAATGAGATGGATCGGCTTGACTGACGAACATTTTTCTTGGCGCTGACTCCCCGCTGCGTGGACCAGAAGTCACGTTTTAGGTAATATACAAGGTAGCTCTGTGATATCCGCTTCTCCAGGCCTCGTGACATTACGCCGATATAGCACGACCGGGATAGCGTTGGGGGATGGGGGGAAATACCAAAAAATAAAATACGAGCAGTCGAATCCATCGATCCCGGGGATGCGTTGGGGAGAGTGGACAGGCCACTTGTGTTTCACAGAATCTCAGCGGGGACCCGGGTGTGGAGTTACGGCGCTGCGGTCTCTCGAAAACGTTTGACGCCACACACGGAAGAAAAGAAAAAACACGAAAAGATGAGAAGCCCCTTGACGATGAGCGAGGGGGTTGCGGGGTGGGAGCGCTGGCGGAGCGGCGCGCCGGGGCGATTTGACGGCGGCGCGAGTTGGGAGAGTGATGCAAGAAAGCGCGATGCCACGCCATGTCGTAAATTGTGCGGCGTTCCGGCCACGGTTGCACCACCACCACCCACCCCAGCTCCCCGCCACCACCACCACCCACCCCAGCTCCCCGCCACCACCACCACCCACCCCAGCTCCCCGCCACCACCACCACCACCACCACCACCCACCCCAGCTTCCCACCACCACCACCACCACCACCCACCCCAGCTCCCCGCCACCACCACCCACCCCAGCTCCCCGCCACCACTACCACCACCACCACCCACCCCAGCTCCCCACCGCCACCACCACCTACCCCAGCTCCCCGCCACCACCACCACCCACCCCAGCTCCCCGCCACCACTACCACCACCACCACCACCACCCACCCCAGCTCCCCGCCACCCCTTCCTGCCACCGCCACCTCCCTCGCTTGAATCACGAAACAGATGAGGTCCACGGGTAACGTTAACCGGCATTGTTGTTGTTGACACTCGGGCACACGATAACGCCACTTCGTTGAGCTATCATTTGCGGCCAGGTCGCTTATGAAAAAGAGCTGTACAGCTCAGTGAGCCTTACCTGGTAAAATAAACAAAAATATCTTCATTTATGATGATTATAACGGAGGGGTGCAATGGCGCACAATGGTTGCGACGATGATGATGATGATGACGACGCACTTGATTTTTGGATACGGAAACCCTAAGTTCGATTCCCGGCCACGGCTAACATCAGTGGCAAGTGGGGGTCCCATCCCCCTACCAAACCTTTTCACTGGCTCGCACTGACCAGCGTGGTGAAGTATGGTCAAATAAACCCCCGTAATTAAATCGACGTGCAGAGAGAGGCCTTCAATGCGAGGAGTCGCGTGACAAATCACTCCCATTATCCGCAGGTTTTCCACGAATTATTATTTTTGACCCCACGGGTCAGATGAGTAAAATAGCGGATAAGATACCGGCCCGCCATATCACTGCAGACAAGAGGCATTCTCCAGCAGACGACACCTTTTGTATTTTGAAGGGAAGAAAAAAAACGAGTAAAATAAAGATAAATATTAACAATGTGTGACGCTTTGTTCGCGTTATTCGATACAAAGAGACGTTCACGTAGAGCATCTGGAGATGCTTACAGCACACTATGCCAAAAGTATTCAGAGGCTTAATAGGGACTCCTCTACTTACGAACGAGTTAGGTTCCAGAGGTCTGTTCGTAAGTCGATATGTTCGTAAGTAAAACTTTACTCCTGTCGATTCCAAACGTGTTGTACGGCGTGTACACTTAACATGGGGAATGGCTTTAAAAGTTGCATAGTCTCCTTTAGATGTAGATACCACTGGTTGTACATGTCCTGCAGATGTAGATGCCACTGGTTCTTCACGTTCTGTAGATGTAGATGCCACCACCGCCATCTATTGCGCGGCGGTTTAACTTACGACTCTCGGTCCGGGCAGGCAACTGAACATACGGACAGGTTTGTTCGCGTCTCTGAAAGTTCGTAAGTCGAATGTTCGTAAGTAGAGGAGTCCCTGCATGAATCCACAGCCGCTGTTTCAAAGAGAGGCGTCCGCTTACCTCGCTGCGCCGTCTGCGACCGTCCGATGTCTGGCTGCATCGCGCGACCGCTCCGTCTCTAATGGGGGGGGGGGGGGGGCACAGGGGGACCCCCCCCCACCGCGGGGCAGTCAGCGATGGCGGTGGAAACGCGACGGGAAACGACGTCACTTTTAGCTTGTCAAAACGGCGTCAACGTCGCGTCCGACGGAACACGTCTCCGAACGTCGTGTAAGTTTCCACCCCGTCCATTGCGCGCACTGTTTGCCGCTAATGAGCGACTCTTTCATTTTTTTTATGAACGAAAGAAAACAGCGAGAGAGAGAGGAAGGGTTGTGGGGATTGCGGATTTTGCGGGGGAGGTGGAGACCAGGGGTCAGGATACGATTTAGTTTGGCGGGGGGGGGGGGGGGGGGCGCCAACTACAAGCGGCGCAGAGGACAGGTAAAGCCAGAAGCTTGTTATCCTGAAGCTGATGATGCGGGCAGTAATGGTCACTGGGTTTATAAACTAAATATTTTTTTCCGAGGCAAGGCACGCCGAGCTCCTCCTGAAACAGGAGGAGGATTTCTCCACAGCTCTGGCTGTCGCCTGATGACGAGGCTGATTGTAATTACCGGCGAAACGCCACGGCAACTCGAATTGTACATGTTGTAGTGGGTTTACTCTCCAACTAGTAACGAATTGGCATTTTTTGTTTACGTGACAAACATTACTAGCAGGTTTAACGACGCATTTATATATACACGATCTAACCTGTTTAACACGTAGGCTTTCGCGACTAATATCATCCATAATAGAGGTTTTGTTGGTGTTAGATCGCGTAAATATATAAATGTGTCGTTAACTAGCTACTACTGGCCAAGACTAATTAGAGATTCTATCGAAATTGAAAGAAATAAAATTTATTTTAACCGCTCGGATAGCTACCGACTTAGTGCTGCGTGGAAGCGAATAATCAAATAATACATTGTTTAAATGCATGCCTATACAGGCCACCATACTTCAATGGGGATTACCATTGCTACGGTTATTTTAATACACACAATGGACAGGAAGGACAAGATCAAAGGGCTCGCAAAATGCGCATGCATCATGTACGTTGACTCAAGAGCGCAGAAGTGTGGTCACCACATCTACACCTCTATATAAGGAACGAAACAGGAGGACTTCTCCACAAATATGGCTGTCGCCTGATGAAGCTAGTTGTAATTACTGGCGAAACGTCGTACTCAGATTGTAAATGTTGTGGCTTGGCTCTCCAACACAGCGGTTAGTGCTGTACTAGTGACGAATTGGCCACGTTCTGTTTACGTGATAACCCTCACTAGTTGGCTGTGTCGGGTGGTGGCGGGTTTTAACGACATATTTACGCGATCTAACCCAAAAAAACCTCTATTATGGACGATTTAACCTAAAAACATCTATTATACACAGTGAGATATATAGTTTCTTTTTCAGAAGCGACCTGGCCACAAATGATAACGAAGTGGCTTATCATCAAGTGCACATTTATAACAGCCAAATACTCTAAATGCATGTTTCTAAATGTGGAGGGGAAAACCGGAGGACCTGGAGAAAAATCCACGCGACCATGGGTAGAGAGGCATGCAAACTCCAAATATACAGCAGGTGTCAGGGTCGGGATCGAATCCAAGACCTCCTGTACACCAGGTGAGGTAGTTAACATCTCGCCACCGTGGCACTCCCATTCATAAACGGGGACCAAATGATATGGTGCCATTTATGAATGAGGACCATATCTTTTTTTATGAATGGGGACCATATCTTTTGAACATCCAGTGTTTTGTTTCTATGTCCATAGTAGCTGAGATGCTCGAGCGATGCCAGACGGGACACGATCATTTTATTTTGATACCGAAATGAGGGGATCTTTCCAAGTACTCAGAATGGTCAAGTTCAGCATGACTGTGAGCCGGCTCATTGGAGCCAGAGCCAAGGCTCACAAATACGGGTCTAAGATTACGAGTAAGGAACCAATGGATTGTTACGCTGCCCAGCCACGGCTCCCAGTGCCCTGCCACGTCCCCTCCTGCCACCAGACCCTTCACCTGTAAAGAGCTCCATGCATGTGGATGCAGCGGAGGTCCCGTGCTCTGGCAGTGGGGCCCCTGGGTCGGGACAGAGCTGCACGGAGAAACAACGGGGAGCGAGGGACAGTGTTGAGATGATAGCGACGGTGGCAATTATCATATTGATGATGATTAAGCGTGGCGATGATCACTGGCGGTGCCAGTGGGGGTGGGATGGCATGTGCCCCCTCAATGGTCCGATCGAAATCCCTCATTTCAATCGGATCATTGGGGTTTATTAGTAATAAATCGGCATTTTGCGACCCCCACTGCCACTGTGTAGCATATTATTACGTGCTGATGATAGGACAATAGTCTGAGTCCATAATTGACAATAAGTAACGGCAAAGCAGTTACAAGTGACTCACAGAAAGCGCGATGCCGAGACGATGATGACACTGGTTATGATGATGACAGCCTTGATGATGACGCTGGTTATGCCGACGACGATGATGACGGTGTTGACGATCACAGCCACGACGATGATGATGCTGGTTATGACGATGACAGTGACGACCACAACGACGATGATGACGGTGATGACGACAATGCCGACACCTCGTGCCCTGGAGGCGCCTCTCCCCGCGCCGCCGTCGCCGTCGCCGCCGCCGTCGCCGCGTGTGCCTTGACGTGCTTGCGCAGCGAGCTGGGGTCCGTGTAGCGCTTGCTGCAGCCGGGCACCTGGCACACGTACGGCTTCTGTGGCGCACGTACGGAGAGGGGGGGTGCAGGTTGGGGGACAGGAGGCGGTGGTTGACGTAGGTCAGCAGGAGACCCAGTAACAGCTGATCCGAACTTCCTCGAGTAGCGTTTCTCAACTCAATTCATCGCAACCCCCCCCCCCCCCCGATCCCCCAGAGTGCACCTGTGAATAAAAAAAAACCTCTTGTCTATCCACTGCTGGATGAAGGCCTCCCCATGCCCTGTCGGTCATTGGGGTTGTTTGACCATACTTCACCACACCGGACTAGGCAGGCTGGTGAAGTGGGAGCCCGGCAGGACCGACCGGTTGGGGTAGCGCTCCCGAACTGAAGTTAGTCGTGGCTGCGGATCAAACTCAGGTCCGCCGGGTTGTTCAGAGTGTCGTGATGACTACTGCGCACCACTGCTCCAAAATCTATATGTACGTACACATTCGCCGTATATATACTGTGAATAAACAAATAAAATATTAACTATAGGGGCTCCTCTACTTACGAGCATTCGACTTACGAACTTTCAGATATACGAACAAACATGGCCGTATGTCTAGCTGCCTGTTCGGACCGATAGTCGTAAGTTCAACTGCCGCACAATAGATGGCGGTGGTGGCATCTACATCTGCAGAACGTGAAGAACCAGTGGCATCTACATCTGCAGAACATGAAGAACCAGTGGCATCTACATCTGCAGAACGTGAAGAACCAGTGGCAGCTACATCTGCAGAACGTGAAGAACCAGTGGCATCTACATCTGCAGAACGTGAAGAGCCAGTGGAATCTACATCTGCAGAACGTGAAGAACCAGTGGCATCTTCATCTGCAGAACGTGAGGAATCAGTGGAAATCTACATCTGCAGAACTTGAAGAACCAATGGCATCTACATCTGCAGAACGTGAAGAACCAGTGGCATCTACATCTGCAGAATGTGAAGAACCAGTGGCATCTACATCTGCAGAACATGAAGAACCAGTGGCATCTACATCTGCAGAACGTGAAGAACCAGTGGCATCTACATCTGCAGACGTGAAGAACTAGTGGCATCTATATCTGCAGAACGTGAAGAACCAGTGGCATCTACATCTGCAGAACGTGAAGAACCAGTGGCATCTACATATGCAGAACGTGAAGAATCAGTGGCATCTACATCTGCAGAACGTGAAGAACCAGTGGCATCTACATCTGCAGAACGTGAAGAACCAGTGGCATCTTCATCTGCAGAACGTGAGGAATCAGTGGAAATCTACATCTGCAGAACTTGAAGAACCAGTGGCATCTGCATCTGCAGAACATGAAGAACCAGTGGCATCTACATCTGCAGAACATGAAGAACCAGTGGCATCTACATCTGCAGAACGTGAAGAACCAGTGGCATCTACATCTGCAGAACGTGAAGAACCAGTGGCATCTACATCTGCAGAAAGTGAAGAATCAGTGGCATCTACATCTGCAGAACGTCAAGAACCAGTGGCATCTACATCTGCAGACCGTGAAGAACCAGTGGCATCTACATCTGCAGAACGTGAAGAACCAGTGGCATCTTCATCTGCAGAACGTGAAGAACCAGTGGCATCTACATCTGCAGAACGTGAAGAACCAGTAGCATCTACATCTGCAGAACGTGAAGCACCAGTGGCATCTACATCTGCAGAACGTGAAGAACCAGTGGCATCTACATCTGCAGAACGTGAAGAACCAGTGGCATCTACATCTGCAGAACGTGAAGAATCAGTGGCATCTACATCTGCAGAACGTGAAGAACCAGTGGCATCTACATCTGCAGAACGTGAAGAACCAGTGACATCTGCAGAACGTAAAGAACCAGTGGCATCTACATCTGCAGAACGTGAAGAACCAGTGGCATCTTCATTTGCAGAATGTGAAGAACCAGTGGCATCTACATCTGCAGAACGTGAAGAACCAGTGGCATCTACATCTGCAGAACATGAAGATCCAGTGGCATCTACATCTGCAGAACGTGAAGAACCAGTGGCATCTATATCTGCAGAACGTGAAGAACCAGTGGCATCTACATCTGCAGAATGTGAAGAATCAGTGGCATCTACATCTGCAGAACGTAAAGAACCAGTGGCATCTTCATCTGCAGAACGTGAAGAACCAGTGGCATCTTCATCTGCAGAACGTGAAGAACCAGTGGCATCTACATCTGCAGAACGTGAAGAACCAGTGGCATCTACATCTGCAGAACGTGAAGAACCAGTGGCATCTACATCTGCAGAACGTGAAGAACCAGTGGCATCTACATCTGCAGAACGTGAAGAATCAGTGGCATCTACATTTGCAGAACGTGAAGAACCAGTGGCATCTTCATCTGCAGAACGTGAAGAACCAGTGGCATCTTCATCTGCAGAACGTGAAGAATCAGTGGCATCTACATCTGCAGAACGTGAAGAACCAGTGGCATCTACATCTGCAGAACGTGAAGAACCAGTGACATCTGCAGAACGTAAAGAACCAGTGGCATCTACATCTGCAGAACGTGAAGAACCAGTGGCATCTACATCTGCAGAATGTGAATAACCAGTGGCATCTACATCTGCAGAACGTGAAGAACCAGTGGCATCTACATCTGCAGAACGTGAAGAACCAGTGGCATCTACATCTGCAGAACGTGAAGAACCAGTGGCATCTACATCTGCAGAACGTGAAGAACCAGTGGCATCTACATCTGCAGAACGTGAAGAACCAGTGGCATCTACATCTGCAGAACGTGAAGAACCAGTGGCATCTACATCTGCAGAACGTGAAGAACCAGTGGCATCTACATCTGCAGAACGTCAAAAACCAGTGGCATCTACATCTGCAGAACGTGAAGAACCAGTGGCATCTTCATCTGCAGAACGTGAAGAACCAGTGGCATCTTCATCTGCAGAACGTGAAAAACCAGTGGCATCTACATCTGCAGAACGTGAAGAACCAGTGGCATCTACATCTGCAGAACGTGAAGAACCAGTGGCATCTACATCTGCAGGAGATTATACAACTTTTAAAGCCATTCCCCGTGTTTAGTGTACACGCCGTACAACATGTCTGGAATCGACAGGAGTAAAGTTGGACTCACGAAGAAATCGACTTACAAACAGACCTCTGGAACCTAACTCGTTCGTAAGTACAGTCCCTGTATAGCCTTTCGAATACTGTTGGCATAGTGCGTTGTAAGCATCGGTAACGTCTGTGAGAGAACCCCTCTTGTCCATGGTGATATCTCAGCATTGGGAGTCTGGCCAGTTGGTAGAGTGAGCAGCTCACAAAACGAAGGTTGTGACCTCAAATCCTAGTTGGCGGTTGACTCAGCCCCATCATCCCTCCGGGGTCGATAAAATCAGTACCACTTAGTGGGGAAGTCAAACAGCGGTTGTCCTGTGGACAGATCTCGCCCCCGCCATAGGAAGGTGGAATTTCCAGCACTGCTGCAGGACATCAAATGACCCCCACGACCTGTAAGGCACGGGGAAGCCCTCCTTATACTCAGAGCATAACACGAGCTTATTCTATGTGTGTATTGGTCCTTGCCATATGAATGTGGAATTTCCAACACTTACCTGTTCCTTTCACAATGATAGCTTGAAACAACAATAAGCAAACTAGAGGTTATTTACTCACATGAGCACGGTTTGGTTATGCACGGTGTGCATACATTTCAAGATACGTACATACAGTACATATTAGCACGGTAAAGTAAAAACGAAACGAAAATTAAACTATTTTATATTTTACCAGGTAAGGCTCACTGAGCGACCTGGCCACAAATGATAGCTCAACGCAGTGGCTTAGCACATGGCAATTTATAGCAGCCAATTACTCCAAAAAAGAAAAAACCTGAGGATCTGGATAAAAATCCACACAACCACGTGGAGAATATGCATACCAAATATGCACGCGTCAGGTTTGGGTTCGAACCCACGACCTCATGTATACCTGGAAAAGTAGTGAACATCTCGCCACCATGGCACCCCCAAGTTAAAATGAAACAAACAATACCCACCACACAAGGCACTCTTTTCTCACGCCTCTTGGAGCACGGGGAACCCAGATCTAAGCCCGGGCACTCATCCCGGGCCAGACCTTGGCTGTTTCCGGTCTACCAAGTCTTTCCACTGGCACATCTGAGCTGAGCCAGCGCAGGGCCCTAACGGTCTGAGTGGTTTCCCACAGGTTACTTGCCAAGCCCGCATCTCCGATTAGCACGGTGGACTACGTTCAGTGTGAAAGAAGTTCACATACGTACACACAAGCCGAGCCAATACTGAAACGTGTTACGCGGGCCTCCCAAGACATTTGATTTTAATTTGGATAGGGGCCAAGCAGGGCCAGGGGCGGTGCTAATGCCGCGCTCATTACATGTGACGTCAGTCAGGCCCCATCGGTGTCTCGACCCCTTCATTGCATGCGATGGCTCCAGCACGGCTCGGCTTCTCCAGTGGGAAAAAAAAAACAACCGAACCACACCGGGGCCGTGGCGAGGCAGCTCAGTTAGGATGTACAGTACGTACAGTGGAAATCAACTAATGAATTACACTTTATTTCCTTAAAAGTAGCCTTTCAGAAAACCCAAGGCTCCTGTACGTAAAAACGATCCTCAATTATAACATTAAAACCCACGCGATTGAAATAACACTTGGGCTGACCTGCAACGGTACATTTCGTATAATGTATTTACAGTGAGGGAAAAAAGTATTTGATCCCCTGCTGATTTTGTACGTTTGCCCACTGACGAAGAAATGATCAGTGTATAATTTTAATGGTAGGTTTATTTGAACAGTGAGAGACAGAATAACAACAACAAAATCCAGAAAAATGCATGTCAAAAATATTATAAATTGATTTGCATTTTAATGAGGGAAATAAGTATTTGACCCCCTCTCAATCAGAAAGATTTCTGGCTCCCAGGTGTCTTTTATACAGGTAACGAGCTGAGATTAGGAGCACACTCTTAAAGGGAGTGCTCCTAATCTCAGCTTGTTACCTGTATAAAAGACACCTGTCCACAGAAGCAATCAATCAATCAGATTCTAAACTCTCCACCATGGCCAAGACCAAAGAGCTCTCCAAGGATATCAGGGACAAGATTGTAGACCTTCACAAGGCTGGAATGGGCTACAAGACCATTGCCAAGCAGCTTGGTGAGAAGGTGACAACAGTTGATGCGATTATTCGCAAATGGAAGAAACACAAAAGAACTGTCAATCTCCCTCGGCCTGGGGCTCCATGCAAGATCTCACCTCGTGGAGTTGCAATGATCATGAGAACGGTGAGGAATCAGCCCAGAACTACACGGGTTTGCCAATGAACATCTGAATGATTCAGAGGACAACTGTGTGAGAGTGTTGTGGTCAGATGAGACCAAAATGGAGCTCTTTGGAATCTACTCAACTCGCCGTGTTTGGAGAAGAAGGAATGCTGCCTATGACCCCAAGAACACCATCCCCACCGTCAAACATGGAGGTGGAAGCATTATGCTTTGGGGGTGTTTTCTGCTAAGGGGACAGGACAACTTCACCGCATCAAAGGGACGATGGACGGGGCCATGTACCGCCAAATCTTGGGTGAGATCCTCCTTCCCTCAGCCAGGGCATTGAAAATGGGTCGTGGATGGGTATTCCAGCATGACAATGACCCAAAACACACGGCCAAGGCAACAAAGGAGTGGCTCAAGAAGAAGCACATTAAGGTCCTGGAGTGGCCTAGCCAGTCTCCAGACCTTAATCCCATAGAAAATCTGTGGAGGGAGCTGAAGGTTCGAGATGCCAAACGTCTGCCTCGAAACCTTAATGACTTGAAGAAGATCTGCAAAGAGGAGTGGGACAAAATCCCTCCTGAGATGTGTGCAAACCTGGTGTCCAACTACAAGAAACGTCTGACCTCTGTGATTGCCAACAAGGGTTTTGCCACCAAGTACTAAGTCATGTTTTGCAGAGGGGTCAAATACTTATTTCCCTCATTAAAATGCAAATCAATTTATAAAATTTTTGACATGCCTTTTTCTGGATTTTTGTTGTTATTCTGTTTCTCACTGTTCAAATAAACCTACCATTAAAATTATAGACTGATCACTTCTTTGTCAGTGGGCAAACGTACAACATCAATAGGGGATCAAATACTTTTTTCCCTCCCTGTAGTTTTTAATCTGTGAACGCCAGACTCAACACGTACGTTTTAAGTTATTTTTTCAGCCAATAGCCATTCGTATTTGGGGGGGTGTCCCACCACCGGCTCCAATAAAGGGCCCCCCACCACCACCACAAAATCACCATCGATCCCTCCACGCGATGGCCTGTCGTGGCGTGGGGTCGTTGGGGTCGTCGTCGTCGCCGCTGCTGCTGCTGCTGCACCCACCGTGTCCTGGTGCGTGCGCTGGTGCTTGGCGCGGTCGCTGGAGTTGCTGAAGGCCTTGCCGCAGCCCGGCTGCTGGCACAGGTAGGGCCGCTCGCCCGTGTGGCTTCGCACGTGGATCTTGAGGTTCTCCAGTCGCGAGAACGCCTTGGGGCAGCCCTCGAACTGCGCAGCGACGCAAAGGGAGCAGGGGGCGTAAGTCAGTGCCGTGCATTTATGAACGCGCAGCTCTTATAGCCTGGGCCAGTGGTTCTCGACCTTGTTTTGGCTACTGTGCTATCACCCCTTGTTGAATTTTGTTTCGGACGAGTGAGCCCCTTGCCTGACCCGGCATGGTTCTGAGAAATAAACGTATGAATAATTAACGTCAATATTTTAACCACTTGTCCATTTTGTTAGGTAATCCTAACGAGGCAGTAACTGCAACCGAATAAAAAAAACGCATTGAACGGATGCTCTACAATGCGTAATGTAATTTGTTTGTGCCCTGCTGGTTACACTTGGAAACCCGCATTGTTTACGATCAATGAGTTTAGAAAGGTTTTTAATATACCGTTCTGGGTTGCCATATGGATTTAAACGTCATCGTAATTATTTTATATTGGCAGATTCATACGTGATTATTCACCACGTATAATATAATTTCACACATTTATCAATCACCTCACGTACCCCCTGGGACATTGCCACGTTCGCCCTGGGTCCGCGTACCTCCAGATGAGAACCACTGACCGAGGTTCTCACGACCACGCGGTGTTCGTACATTGTAATCGCTTAATGTCCTGGTGCGGCCTGGTGCTGTGTTTGTTGTTGATGCCTTGCCCAAACGTGCATCTGGTGTTGACTAATAGGCAGCAATGTTTGTACTTAATGCAATTTGTACTTTATATATATGACTTATTTATTATTTATTTTTTACGTAGTGACTTGTTTACCTTTTCACTATGTTGCACGACTGTCGTGTTTTTTTGTATTGTCTGCCCTTGTAGCTCGCTGATCCCGTGCCCCAACTGGGGATCTGTGAAATAGAGCTTCACGGCTCATTGGATTCCTAATGCAGTCTATATAAAGATTCTGATTCTATTAAAGCAGCTCTGTCTTGCACGTTCTACTGAACTGGTTAAATGTCGGTGAAGAGCCTCGAACATCATGCAGCGGCAGTGAGTTCTGGGCCGATGAACCGTTGGGTAGGCGAGTGGGTAGGTGAGTGAGTTGGGTGGGTATCTGAGTGAGAAAACGAGTGGTTGAGTATGGAGGTAGGTGAGTGGGTAGGTGAGTTCTATGCCAACCGATTGTTGAGTAGGTGAGTGGGTAGGTGAGTGAGTTTGGTGGGTATCTGAGTGAGAAAACGAGTGGGTGATTATGGAGGTAGGTGAATGGGTAGACGAGTTCTATGCCAATGGACTGTTGAGTAGGTGAGTGGGTAGGTGAGTGAGTTTGGTGGGTATCTGAGTGAGAAAACAAGTGGGTGAGTAAGTAGTGGAGTGGGTAGGTGAATTTCATGGCGATTGACCGCTGAGTAGGTGAGTGGGTAGGTGAGTGAGTGGGCGGGTATCTGATTGAGTGAACGAGTGAGTGAGTGGGTAGGTGAAGGAGTGGGTAGGTGAGTTCCATGCCGACAGACTGCTGACCGCGAAGCTGCAAGGTCCACGTCTCGTTGCCTGAGTGCGCGGGACGATCACGTCGCGTGGGTCAGTGCAGAGCATCGATTGGGGCCGCTGATGCTCAAATAAGTTTCCGTGCTGCTGTGCAGCAGTGCTCCGATGTGTTTTTTTTTCCGTGCTGCTACGGCGTGTCGCGGGGCACGACGTCCGACGTTCCGCGCGCACCACGTGCCGGGAGCTTCTTTGGGAAGTGAATCCGATGAAGCAGCTCCGACCCGGCACGTGCAGCGGAACGTCGGACATCGTGCCGAGCGACAGGCGGTTAACAACCCCGAAAAGACCCGTCGGACGGCGAGTCGTGCATTTGTCTTCAATTCGGCAGTGGTTTGTCTCACGGGGAGAATTTTCCCAGTCGTAGGAATGTGGAATCTTCAATATTGGAATTCCAACAATGCCATTGCTCATTTTAACAGCAAGGCACCTTGAGTCGAGAATTTGGATTGACATCTGTTGTCATTTAGCGAATACCGCCGAGGAATAAGTAAATAAATAAATGCGCGTGCGTACACTGAAATCCTCGCAATGTAATGCGACGTAGCATTAATGAAGAGTAAACTGGATATTTACGAGCGGGGTCAATACGCCTGTGAAACATCATGGAAGGCTAAAAACGGAACCGCCCCCCCCCCCCCTAGATATGGAATGGAGCAGTAATTCACTTCCCCCGATGCAAGCCAGGTGTGCACCAGGGCTGTTTCGCGTTTAGGTGGGACAGGGGGACAACACCGCTGAGTGGAAACTGTCAGTGGCCGATAAATCAGCTCACGCAGGGGCAGCGGAGAGCGGACGAGGGAGCGAGGGTGAGAGAGGAAAGCGGAAAGCTGTGGAAGTCAAATTAAAATGTTCGTGTATTTTATGAATCCCTGCCTCCGCCCCCAACGCTTTGATTTCTGCCCCCAGGAGGAGAAGCCGGGCTCTGGGATGAGGCCGCAGGGATTGAGCGGCCGTGTGGAGCTACATCCCGAGAAATGCGCTACAGCTGCGTGGACGAGATGCGTGTGTGAACAGCGGCGCGCAGGCGCACGTGCGGTTGTGTGTGTGTGTGCATGTGTCTGTGTATGTGTGTCTGTGTGTGTGTGTCTGTGTGTGTGTGCGTGTTGTGGGGAGCGGTGGTGTAGCGGTTAGTGCGCTGCGCTACGAACCCGGCGACATGGGTTCGATTCCCGCTCACGGCCAACACCAGTGACGATTATCTGAACTGGTCCCGGGCCTCCCCTAGGTCGACTCAGCCTCAAATGAGTACCCGGTGCGGTGCGTAAACATCGCCACTGGGGAGACAAAGACGGCCGGGCGTGGTGTTAGTCACCCACACCCTCGTGTGCCGTGCCGGCCTTGATAGGTCCTCGCTAACAGCACTTGCCCCAACAGTCTGTTAAGGCTATACGGGGGGTCTTTGTCTGTGTTCTGACCACACGTGTGTGTGTGTTCTGGTGGGGAGCGGTAGCGCAGCGGTTCGCGCTACGATCCTGGCGGCGACCCGAATTCGATTCCGGCTCACGGCCAACACCGGTGACGATTGCCTGAACCGGTCCTGGGACTCTCCTCGGTCGAAAAGGAATGGCTCTTCTGATTATTTTGGTTGCCGACCCCTGCCTTGCATGCCAGCATCAAGGTCTAAAAATTACTTAAATTGGGTGAACACCACAAAGTAGCGTAGCCCCACGACCTTCAGCACCCCCCCTCCCCGCACCACATGCAGTCGACTGGTCTGTGAAACATCGCCCCTCCTTCACGGTAGCCTTGTGTTGCAAGGACGGCACGAATAGCAAATCTACTGAAGTATTATTATTGTTATTGACGAGCGATCGAGAAAGAATTGAACTCGACTCTGAGAGTTCTCATTCCGACATGCTACCTGGAAATGACAACAACATAGATAATTTTGATTTAAAGCTTCTAATTCTTGGTTCTTTCGGTAAAGGCACGTAGAAGGGAAACAATAAAATAATACAAATATAAAACAATAAAATTATCACGACGTTTCGACTGCAACACAAGCAATCATCATCAGGTGTGAAAACCACAGCAAGAAAATTTGAAAAAAGTGGCGTTTTTTTAACGTTAGCACCACGGAGAGCGATTTGGCAGTTATTCAGATGGACGAGTCCATCTATGTTCGTATAAGAGGAGGAGGGAGACGAAAATAATGGATGCGGTCTGAAAGCCACCGTAAGCGTGAACAATCAATTAAGACCCGAAATGGTTTAACAAATCCTTCCAATGATTGCTAAGCCAGAATCCATCTTCTCGGTTGAAAATGTCTCTGTGTTTGTATATGTGGATAGCCTCATGAACGAATCTCTCATGGTAGCCAGATGGCTTGCAAAGATAATATCAGTAATAAAATAACACCGGTATAACCCCTACAACAACCAAAAAAACCGCTCGCCATAAACCAAAAACACAAAAGAGAAGAAACTAATCTCCGCTCTTCCTCGAGCGACGTGAAGCGGTTGTGTCCTCTGTGATATATTGCACCGGCAAGGGCATAAATACAGCGGCAGGAATGCCGTGATTTCCTCCCGGACCCAGCAGCAGCAGCGGCATCACTCCCACATACTCTCTCGCTCGCGCGATGGATGTCTCATGCGGAAAAGAAAAAAAAATCACGAGCGCACTCCGCTCATCTGACTTCAATTTTTGGGAGACGCGGGTCCATCGCGGAACGCAACGGCACAAACCATCTCCACGGCAGCGGTTGTTCTGCCAAATTTTTGCGCAGTCGGCTCCAGATTTTTTACTACCGTGTGGGGTGTTTTTTCCGCGGCCGTGCCGCGCACGCCTCTCCGGCGTGTCCTCGGCGCTGTTGCCGCGCGTTTTGTTCGGCACACGATGTCCGTCGTTTTTCCGCACGTGCCGGGAGATATTAACTACCTCGGCAGGTATACAGGACGTCGTGGGTGCGATCCCGAACCTGACGCCGCCTCTATATTTGGAGTTTGCATATTCTCCCCGTTGTCGCTTGGATTTTTCTCCGGGTCCTCCGTTTTTTCCCTCCACATTTAGACACGAAACACGCGTTTAGAGTATTTCGCTGCCTTAAATTTTGACGTTGTCACAAGCCACTTCGTTGAGCTATCATTTGAGGACAGGTCGCTTCTGAACAAGAGCTTTGTAGCTCAGTGGGCCTTACCTGTTAAATAAAAAAAAACATTCAATTGCTGAAGAAGCTACGGGCACGTGGGTCGAAACCTCCGGACGTCGTGCCGAAGAAAACGTGGCACGACCTGTAAACGCACCGCAGAGCCATAATCAGCTCCACTTCGATTTGGTTTCCTTCCTCAAGAAACTCGCACTCGATGGATCCACCTTTGAGTTATCCACCAACTCCACATCACCACTGCTATTAGGGTATGCAGGCACGGTGCATCATCATAATCATGAACATCGGGTGGTCAACCGAGGAAATGTTGGTTGCTGTGCATAGCCGGGAACGCTAACTATGGCAGAATCACGCTTCACATGCCCGACATGGTCAGATCTCAAAAGCTAAAGAGGTTTATTGTTGGTCAATGCTCGGAATGGGAGCCCGCTAAGGCCCGCCACGTGTTGTTCGCAGTACCTTTGTGAGGTGCCAATAAATGGCAGCAGAGCGATGGATTCCGGCCACAGATGCAATTTGATTCGCTCGCTGGATTGAATTTGTGCGTAGCTTTGAGCATCACTGCCTCGTACGTGTGATGGATTTTCTCCGGGTTCTCCAGTTTCCTCCCACAAGAAGCCACTCATTTTTCGATTTAAATCTTTCGTGACTGCAAGGATTCATCTTCTTTGGTTCTTTCGGTAAAGTCACGTAGAATGAGAATAAAATAATAAATTGATAAAATAACACAATAATATTCTCACGACGTTTCGGCCACAACACAAGCGGCCTTCATCAGGTGAAGGGACGAGACTGTCTGGAGGACAGTGCCGCTTGTGTTGTGGCCGAAACGTCGTGAGAATATTATTGTGTTATTTTGTTTGATCAATTTATTATTTTATTCTCATTCTACGTGACTTTACCGAAAGAACCAAAGAAGATGAAGCCACTCATTATTAATTGAACTGACCAAGACTCATGCGAATGAGTCGTTAGATTAATCGATGCTTTGCTGGGTAAACGATTCATATTATTATCATCATCGTCGTCATCGTAGTGACCGAAAAAATACTGGCACGCACTTTTTGCGCTTTCGATTTCAAAAGTGTAGCGGTTGACGCGCTGAGCTAGGAACCCAGCGACCCGAGTCTGATTCCCGCTCACGGCCAACACCAGTGATGATTATCCTGGGCCTCCCCTAGGTCGACTCAGCCTCAAATGAGTACCTGGTGTGATGTGTAAACATCGCCACCGGGGCGACAAAGACGGCCGGGCGTGGTGTTAGCTACCCACGCCCTTCGTGTGCCGTGCCGGCCTTCATAGGTGCTCGCTAACAGCACTTGCCCCAACAGTCTGTTAAGTCTATACGGGGGATCTTTGAGAGGCATAGTAGTGCAGTTGTTTTTAAAGACGTTGTACTCACCGCAGAGAACCGTAGCTACACGACCGCACACTGTGATAGCTGCCGCCAAACTGTGCCACACGCCCTCCCGCAAGTCCTTGTGTGGACCCTCGGTACAAATAAAGTTAATTTATTTTTGTCTTTCCTCCGATTCCGTTCCGATGACGATGCGTGTGCGTCATCGGAACGGGAAGTGGTTAACGCGTAGGCTCTCACGACCAATATTATTCATGATAAAGTGTTATGGGATAGATCGCGTGAATGTAAATGTGGCATACACCCACCGATTGCAGGGTAGGTCAAGGTGGTATTTATATTTCGATTTAAAGCTTTCGTGACTGCAAGGATTCAAATTGAAGCTCTATCGTCCCGACAGTTCTGTTCTTTCACCTGAAGAAGGCTACTTGTGTTGTGGTCGAAACGTCGTGAGAATTTTATTGTCTTATTATTTTATTTTTTATTATTTTATTCTCATTCTACGTGACTTTACCGAAAAAGACAAAGAAGGTGATATTTATATTTACGCATTCTAACTCAAAAGGACGTTGTCCTTAACACTTATTTGCAATTTATTTGGAGATACCTCTGCTTCTGTGTAGGCAGTGGTGCAGGAGCACAAATAACGATGACGCTCAACGCGTTCGTCAATAACAACACCACCGTGGCCTTAAAATAAAAATATAAAGGACGACGTTTCGGGCGATGGCCCTTCTTCATAGCACATACGAATGGCCATTGTAGCACATTATATATGTTATTGTTCATATATCATTGTATATTTTTAATTCATATCATTATTTTTGTTATCTCCATATATGTAAAAGGCAAAAAGTTGTGATCATGCGTGTCTGTTCAAAATGTTTAGCGTACTTCCCGACATGCAACAAACTTGAAATTTGCCATGTGGGAACTTTCCAGACTGTACACCATGCAAAAATTATAAAAATACACTTTTTTTGGGGGGAGGGGGGCTCAATAATGCATTTTTTGCACATCAAGTGAGCTGTGACGTCAATCATGTCACGTGACCCGTGCATGTGGAAGCGTAACGCATTGTAGTGTAGTGGATAGCGCGCTGCGCTACGAACCCGGCGACCCGAGTCTGATTCCCTCTCACGGCCACCACCGGTGATGATTATCTGAACCAGGGGCGGAGCCAGGATTTCAGGCCGGGGTGACATTCAACAAATGTTAATTTCAAGAATGATGAGAGAGTCAGGCTGTTGAACCAGACGCCATCGGTTGGCGGACACACTCTGACAACGCAGTTGCACCGGAGTCCGCCAGACCGAGTGTCGTTCACTTACACGCAGAATGTCACCCCCCCTGTCACCCCCCCTGGCTCCGCCCCTGATCTGAACCGGTCCTGGGCCTCCCCTAGGTCGACTCAGCCTCAAACGAGTAACTGGTGTGGTGTGTGAACATCGCCACTGGGGAGACAAAGGCGGCCGGACGTGCTGAATCCAAGTCCCGGGCGAAGCCGGGTAGTAAAGCTAGTTATTCATATATCATTGCATATTTTATTATATATCATTATATATATATTTTCCTTTTAAGGCAGTGGCATTAACGAATGTGCTGAGTTTCGCATTGCATTATTGCCACGGCTGGGAGATTCATGCGCCTCTATGTGAGCCTCCGGGTATTAGAGTTTATACAATGCAATGTTTGTGTGTGTGTATACATAAATGCAGCGTCTCAATGTGATCGCATCTTTCTGTGAATTTGTAGGTCTCGATGTAAGTCTGTATGGGGCTCTGTGTGAGTATATGGGGCTCTGTGTGAGTATATGGGGGTTTGTGTGAGTATATGGGGGTTTGTGTTAGTATATGGGGCTCTGTGTGAGTAAATGGGGCTCTGTGTGAGTATATGGGGGTTTGTGTGAGTATATGGGGATCTGTGTGAGTATATGGGGCTCCGTGTGAGTAAATGGGGCTCTGTGTGAGTATATGGGGGTTTGTGTGAGTATATGGGGATCTGTGTGAGTATATGGGGCTCTGTCTGAGTAAATGGGGCTCTGTGTGAGTATATGGGGGTTTGTGTTAGTATATGGGGGTTTGTGTGAGTAAATGGGGCTCTGTGTGAGTATACACAACCCACTGTGGATTTATACAACATCTAAATGCAACTTCATCTCAAGACGCCTTGCAAAAACCGTCGGCGTATTTCGTTTTGATGGTGAGAAAGCTTCTTCAGCAACTGAACTGAAGCAGCACTTTGCTTTTAGAGCGAAACGTCGGACATCGTGCCGAAGAAAACACATTGCAGAGCTGTAACGATCTGTACACTTACAATAATTGTACAGTACATGTCTCTGGCATGAAGCTACGTCTAATTAGGAGACACCTACTACAACTTACATTTATATTCTGATTGTCATGTAACAAACGTCTCACAGCAAAGTTATTTAGCTTAGGGGACCCCTTGATGGCAGCTGTCCCTGTGTGGGACAAGGTGAACGCAGCACCGGCCTACAAGTGGATAGAGGTCAATGTTGTGATTGGTTTTCATATTAAATAATTGAAGTATCTCACCACCCACGCCCACCACCACCATCTTCACCACCACTGTAGAACTACCACCACCACCAAGCCCATCACCGCTACCACCATCACCACCACGCCCACCACCACCAGCACTGCCACCACTACGACCGCGACCACTACCACCACCGCCGCCACCACCATGCTCACGACTGCCACCAGCAACGCCTCCACCACCATCACTGCCACCATCACCACCGCCCAAGCTGACCGCCACCACTACCTTCCCTGCCACCACTCACCATGCACTTGTTGGGCTTCTCCCCGGAGTGCACGCGCATGTGGATGAGCAGCTTGTACCGCGCGTTGAACGGGCGCCGGCGCCGCCCGCACGCCTCCCACTGGCACGCAAACTCCTCCCCGCGCTGCGGCTCCACGTGGCTCTTCTCGATGTGGCGGCACAACTGCTCGCGCCGCCCAAACGCCGCCCGGCACTCCTCCCACCGGCATGCCTCGCCGGTTGCACTGCCGCCGCCGCTGATCGCCGGGTCCTCCGAGTCACGCGCCGCCGCCGGGAAGCCGCCCGGCCCCGCGGCGGTGGCCGCCGAGGAGGAGGAGGAGGAGAGGCTCTGGCACGCCGGGAACGGTGGCGCCGGCCGCTGGCGCTCCACGCCAAAATAGCCGGCGCCTTCGCCGTGAGACGCAACGCAAAGCCAGGACGGCACGGAAGGGCGGAGCGGCTCACGCTGCTCACCAAGGTGCCGCCGCTGATTCTGCTCATGGCGTTGCTGAAGGCTTTGATGGAGGTGATGCTGCTGGTGCTGCTCTCCAAGCTGCTGGTGCTGATGCTGGCGAAGGTTCTGATTCTGCCGCTGCTGATGATGATTCTGCTGGTGCTGGTGCTGCTGGTGGGGTTGCTGCTGCTGATGACGATTCTCAGGTGTCCTCCCTTCAGGCAGGGCACGGCGCTGACCGTGGACGTGCGGGAGGAGCGCCGACGCCATGGCTCGGCCCTCGCCGCCGTGGAACTCCGCGGAGCCGGATAGGAACCCAGCGCCGGTGGTGGCGGCGGCGGGAGCCGCCGTAGCCGCGCCCGTGCGCCGGCGCGCCGGGTGGCGGCAGCAGCAGGAGGCCGGCGACGGCGTCGTCATCCCCGAAGCGCCGGCGGTGGCAAAAGAGCACGGGCAGAGCTGGGCGGTGCGACAGCTGAGAGTGGAGACACCGCACTCTCCGGAAGAAGCTGGTGCTGCTGATGGCGGCGGTGGTGGTGGTGGTGCCACTGCAGTGGTGAAGCTGAGAAGCACAGAGTGGTCATGGTTAGCGTGCGTGCGTGTGTGTGGAGCCTATGTAAGACTATTATCGGAATCACAATATTTATTTAGGCTGGAAGAATCCGATGAAGCTCTTTTTTCACAGATATCCAGAAGGGGGAGGGCGCGCGGGGGGGGGGGGGGGCGGGCGGGGGGTTGGGGAGGTCAGACATTTACAACAATAAACAATACAAAGTATAGGAAAGTTAAGCATAAGTACAAATCGGTCTGTCTGCTAGACTATGGGCGTCTATGTAAGTCAAGTGGCATAGTGAGGTTGGTGTGCGCACTGGAGCGAGGAATACATAATCGTCCTCCCCCACCCCCCTTTCTGTTTAATTTCCACAACTTTGTTGTGGCCAGGAACGTGCCCCTCAACACCAACCCTCTGTCACGTGGCCCTGGTGCAGTTGCACCGCCTGCCGTGCCACTGGCGTGGCTGTGCCGCGTGGTGAAGCTGCGTTGGGCCTGTACGGTCTGGCAGGACTACCTCTGAGTTAAAGCACGAATTGACTATACAGGGGACAGCCCTGCCTAAACCACCCCTCTCATCTCACTCTATTCCCCACCACACACTCTCCTAACTCTACCCTCTCATCTCTCTCAGATTCCCTCTGCGCACTCTGCTACCTCTCCCCTCTCATCTCACCGTGCACTCTCCTACCTCATATCTCAATCTATTCCCGTCGACACAATCTCCCCTCTCATCTCTCTCGAATTCCCTCCACGCACTCTGCTGCCTCTCCCCTCTCATCTCACCATGCACTCGCCTACCTCTCCCTTCTCATCTCACTCTACTCCCCTCCACGAAGTCTCCTACCTCGCACCCCCAGTTAACCCCTGCCTCGGTGGGAAGTCACTCCTTCTCCACAATTCGCCTCTCTGGTCTGGAATTCCCTCCCCCTGGACATCAGTTCACGATCCATATCCTAAATTTAGATTTAACGCTTTCGTGACTGCAGGGATTCATATTCTTGGTTCTTTCGGTAAAGTCACGTAGAAGGGAAACAATAAAATAATATAATTGGTTTATATTTTTCTTATTTTATTGTTTCCCTTCTACGTGACTTTACCGAAAGAACCAAGAATATGAACCATCTCCTAATTAAGTCCAGGCTCAAGATCTTCCTCTCCTCCTTCATCCACGGGACCATTGCGTAATTTTTTTTCACCTTTGAGTTGAGTTTCACGGATAAGGATTTGCATATTTTGCCCCAGCAAGACCGAACGCCTTAACATCACACTCCATCTCAACAATTACAATGGCCAGCTGCAGTCCAGCTAAGGGGACCCCCCCCCCCCCCCCGGCAGAAGCTGTCCCTGTGCGGCACGAGGCAGCACCGACCCTGATTTCGTTGCATGCTGCGGGTCATCCAGAACACACCGTATAACAACGTTATCACGATGCAATGCCCCGATCCACGCATACGAAGGAGGCATCATCGCGGCGATACACAACTCCGCTGGCTCCTGACGCGGTTGTCCGGCTTGACCGCCTGAGTGTGAAATTGCGGTCGTCGTTCCGCATCTAACATCGGCAGCCATAGGGAAGAGAGACGATGTTGCCGGGCACCTGCATTCCAGGTAATGTCCGGCGAGGTGAGAGTGGTGCATGCCGGGATGCGGCCTGCTGTTGCCATGGAGATGGTTGCCATGCGCCGGGGAACGTGGCCGCAGGAAGGACCGGGAGGGGTCGTCCACGGTGCCCAGGCAGCTGCCTGCGTCAAACGCCAGATGGAACGATTCCTCTGGAATAGAGTTAAGAGACAAGGCAGGATTGAGTTTGATAGGGGGGGGGCTGTTATTGTTTTGCGGGGGGGGCCCTCTCTGTAAATTCAATTCCTTCTCTTGACCCTTTTATCAGCACCCATGCCCGACCCCAAACGCTCTGTCGTTATTCACCTTAGTTATTAAAATTGTACATGCGAATGGATATATATACACGAATGAATAACAATTGAAGTTGATCAGCACATCATTGGCAGTATTATGAGTATGACAAATATAGATGTTATTGGTTTGAAAACGAAATTTCCCGTAGCGTCAAAATCATGTATTTCAACCGTAATAAATCTGTTTTACATTATATTATAATGCGTTTTAGAGGGCCTTCAAAATTCAAGGCCACCAGCTGCAGTCCCTCGTGCCCCTGTATGAACCTGGCCTCGGTTCAGAGGCCCTCATCCAGCAGGGGATTGAGAAACTAACTGTATGTGCGCGTACATTTTTAAGCTACTCCTATTTTTTTTTAACCAGGTAAGACCACCCTGAGCTATGCAGCTATTTTTCAGACGCGATTGCCCAACAAAGTGGCTTATCACGTGGACATGTATAGCAGCCAAATACTCTAAACGCGTGATGTTGATTCTAAATGCGGAGGGACCAACCGAAGGACCTCGAGGATAATCCACGCGGCCACGGGGAGAGAGAGACGCAAACTCCAAATATACAGCAGGCGTCAGGGTCGGGATCGCACTCACGACCTCCTGTATACCAGGCGATGGAGTTAACATCTCGCCACCGTGAACGGGGAGAGAGAGACGCAAACTCCAAATATACAGCAGGCGTCAGGGTCGGGATCGCACTCACGACCTCCTGTATACCAGGCGATGGAGTTAACATCTCGCCACCGTGAACGGGGAGAGAGAGACGCAAACTCCAAATATACAGCAGGCGTCAGGGTCGGGATCGCACTCACGACCTCTTGTATACCAGGCGATGGAGTTAACATCTCCTAGCCACCGTGAACTATTGCCACACATCTCCAGAACGTGTTGATCCTAAGGAGGTCCACCCACCTTTCGGCCAGCAGTCAGCAAGACCCCCAAACTCCTCCTTGGGGGTCTTTGAGGGGTACGGGGGCAGGGTGCGGAACGCGTGTTCCATGATACGGGGGGGTTGGAAGTGTGGTGGGGGGAGGGGGTGCAGAGCCCCCCACTCAACCCCCCGCTCGCCACTCTTCCCCACCAAGCCTTGAGGATCTCTCCCCTTGTCGACCCGAGAGGTCTCTCGCTACATCGTTCCGCTCTTCGAGTTTGTCCGTGAGCGAGCGGTAGCCCTGAAATAAACCACAACGCAGGGTTGCCGTGATGAGAGAGCGTGATCGCTGGACTAACGGAGAGTGCTGTGGTACTTGATTGTTAAGGACTGTGCTCTGGCTTTGACCCGAACCAAACAACAAAATAGCCCCAGCACAAAGCCTATCTTGAGCCAAAACCGCCCCCTATAGCCATAACAACAGCAGTATATCTAGCGCAACCCCGCACCTCCGATTAGCACGGTTGGCTACCTACGGTGCGAAAGAAGTTCAACATACACACATTGCCTAACCCTACATTGAACCCGAACCATAGGCCTGATCCAACCCCACATCTGACCCTAACCCTCATGTCGAACATCAGCACCTACCCTGTCATTGACTACATCTCTAACCTGAGCCCGAACTAACCCTAGCATAATTCAAACCAATCACTCCCTAGTCCTAACCCTGACATTAACCTAACCCTGCCGATGACCATATGACACGGAATGTGCCCGAGTTTGTCAGGTCTCGAAAGCTAAGCAGGGGTTGATCCTGGATAGTGCTTGCATGGGCGACCACATGCACGGGTAGTATGCAACAGGTTTGGTATCGGCTGCTACTGCGGGGATATATTGTGGACAGCAGCGGACAGTACAGCAAAGTACACCGTTGTACTTGAAATTTTAGACGAGTTGATTTTTTAAAATATATATGAGTGAACATTGAAAAAGAATAACGTCTGTGCGCATGTACGTTGAACTTTCTTTCGCACCGTACGTAGCCAACCGCTCTAATCGGACGTGAAAGTGATAAGGTGTGCCACCATATCTTGCCGTGCGGACTTTAAGCCCCATACACAGTAGCAACATGTGGTGTATTACTTTGGTTTGAGAAGTACAGCAAGTAGGTTGACGATTACTGACACCCTCGCACGTGTACATGGAGAAGCCCATGTTGTCAATCCACCCATCCAAGCAACAACCCAGGCTCAACGCTGCTTAGCTCCTGAGATCGGACGAGATCAGGCGCATTACTCTGGTTTAGATGAAAGAAAGTGTCGTCTCTCCGTGTCTGTGTCTTGTCTCAAGAAGAACTTACCTGCGGCGGCTGTGTCGGGAGTCTCCGCGTGTCTGTGTCCTTATCTACACGTGCGTCTCCTCTAGGAGATCACGTGAGTCTCCACACGCGCCTTCTTCACCTTCTCTCACCGTATCTTGGACTCCTTAATCCCCCGGTGTCTCCACGTGTCTCGTCTCTCGGCGTCTTCACCTTGATCCCGCCCTACCTAATTTGTGTCTCCGCATATCTCACCATCTCGCCGCGTCTCCAGCGTGCTTCTCCACGTCGCCTCTCACCTCCTCAGAACCCCCATCACCTTCTCAGAACCCCCATCACCTCCTCGTGTCTTAAGATGTCACGGTCACAAGAGGACAAACGCGCCGGCGAGTACGTCAAGTCCGAGTTAAACTCCCCGCTTCTGTTTCAACTCGTTGTCTCCCTCTGCGCCTCCTCCATTTGTGTCTGTGGGTGTCTGTGTGTGTGTGAGTCTATGGGTATCTATGTGAGTCCATGGTTCTCTATGCTGGTCTATGTGTGGGTGTCTGTGTGTGGGTGTCTGTTTGTGTGAGTCTATGGGTATCTATGTGAGTCCATGGTTCTCTATGCTGGTCTATGTGTGGGTGTCTGTGTGTGTGAGTCTATGGGTATCTATGTGAGTCCATGGTTCTCTACGCTGGTATGTGTGTGTGTCTATGTGTGGGTGTCTGTGTGTGTGAGTCTATGGGTATCTATGTGAGTCCATGGTTCTCTATGCTGGTCTATGTGTGGGTGTCTGTGTGTGTGAGTCTATGGGTATCTATGTGAGTCCATGGTTCTCTACGCTGGTATATGTGTGTGTGTCTATGTGTGGGTGTCTGTGTGTGTGAGTCTATGGGTATCTATGTGAGTCCATGGTTATCTGTGCTAGTCTCTGTGTGTGTCTATGTGTAGGTGTCTGTGTGAGTCTATGGGTATCTATGTGAGTCCATGGTTCTCTATGCTGGTATATGTGTGTGTCTATTTGTGGGTTGTCTATGTGTGTGAGTCTATGGATATCTATGTGAGTCCATGGTTCTCTACGCTGGTATATGTGTGTGTGTGTCTATGTGTGGGTGTCTGTCTTTGTGTCTGTGTGTGTGAGTCTATGGGTATCTATGTGAGTCCATGGTTCTCTATTCTGGTCTATGTATGTGTGTCTATGTGTGGGTGTCTGTGTGTGTGAGTCTATGGGTATCTATGTGAGTCCATGGTTCTCTATGCTAGTCTCTGTGTGTGTCTATGTGTGTGAGTCTATGTGTCTCTATGTGAGTCTATAGGTGTCAATGTGAATCCATGCCTCTCTACTGTGAGTCCATGGTTATCTGCATAGTGAGTCCATGGGTGTCTATGTTTGCATCTCTGGGTGTCTATGCGAGTCCATGTTCCTCTATGCGAGTAACCGCGGCACACTATTGCGCGTCTCTGTGCGAGTCTGCGGGTGTCCGCGATGCCAGTTCGCGGTTCTCTGCACAAAGTCTGTGGATCTCTACGCAAGTCAACGGACGTGAGTCTCTTATCCCGAGCGATTTGTCGCCGAGTAGACCTCGCCTCTCTCGCAGCCTGCACACCCCCCTCGCCCCTCTCTCTCTCTCTGCCCCACGGACTCCACCAACAGCCTGCAAACAGCAACACAAAAAATCTAACTCCCCCAAACCTTCCACGTGCACAACCCCCACACCGTCCCCCATGGGGCTACACGGTTCATGGATCAGGGTAGTGGTGGTGGTGGGGAGGAGGGACGCGTGGGAGTGATGTAAAGCCAGCGGGTCGCGAGGCGTGAACTAATCAATCAGAATCAGATTTTTAAATGTGTACTAGTGTAATTGCCCGTCATATGACGTGTTCATAAAATATAAATCTAATGAAAAATGCTTAAAATGTTAAGACTGTATTGGATTTTTCTTTGGTTCTTTCGGTAAAGTCACGTAGAATGAGAATAATAATATTATTCCAAAGAAGATGAATCCTTGCAGTCACGAATGCTTTAAATCGAAATGTATTGGATTTATTTGACCAAACATTTCTCTCTGTATATATTTCACATTTTGTGTAAACTGACGATCGTCTCTCAACAGTTTTCAGTGAGATAAATCTTGTTGTTGAATCAGCACTGTGAAGACAAAGCAACAAACGAATAATGATCTATAATACAGGATTTTTTTGGGTTAAATCGCCTAAATATAAATGTGCCGTTAAACCCGCCATGCAATTTTTTAATATTTAAAATTGCATGGCGCGCATGAAAATCCACGTGGCCTCCCCAACGGTACACGCAGCGTACAGAGAGCGGCAGGCGTTAAGCACAGATCACCAACAGCAAATGTGAATAACATCCTGAAGGAATCCGATGAGCTATGAAGCTATTTTGCAAATATGTTCAGTAGGGGCACGGGGTCAGAACGTCACAACAACAAACAATACGAAAACACGATAGGAGTACAAAGTGTAGGAAAGGTAAACACACCGTAATTACAGTTTTTTTGGATTTGGTCGCGTAAGTATACAGCGAGGGAAAAAAGTATTTGATCCCGTGCTGATTTTGTACGTTTGCCCACTGACAAAGAAATGATCAGTCGATAATTTTAATGGTAGGTTTATTTGAACAGTGAGAGACAGAATAACAACAAAATCCAGAAAAAACGCATGTGAAAAATGTTATAAATTGATTTGCATTTAATGAGGAAAATAAGTATTTGACCCCCTCTCAATCAGAAAGATTTCTGGCTCCCAGGTGTCTTTTATGCAGGTAACGAGCTGAGATTAGGAGCACACTCTTAAAGGGAGTGCTCCTAATCTCAGCTTGTTACATGTATAAAAGGCACCTGTCCACAGAAGCAATCAATCAATCAGATTCCAAACTCTCCACCATGGCCAAGACCAAAGAGCTCTCTCCAAGGATGTCAGGGACAAGATTGTAGACCTACACAAGGCTGGAATGGGCTACAAGACCATTGCCAAGCAGCTTGGTGAGAAGGTGACAACAGTTGGTGCGATTATTCGCAAATGGAAGAAACACAAAAGAACTGTCAATCTCCCTCGGCCTGGGGCTCCATGCAAGATCTCACCTCGTGGAGTTGCAATGATCATGAGAACGGTGAGGAATCAGCCCAGAACTACACGGGAGGATCTTGTCAATGATCTCAAGGCAGCTGGGACCATAGTCACCAAGAAAACAATTGGTAACACACTACGCCGTGAAGGACTGAAATCCTGCAGCGCCCGCAAGGTCCCCCTGCTCAAGAAAGCACATATACATGCCCATCTGAAGTTTGCCAATGAACATCTGAATGATTCAGAGGACAACTGGGTGAAAGTGTTATGGCCGGATTAGACCAAAATGGAGCTCTTTGGCATCAACTCAAATCGCCGTGTTTGGAGGAGGAGGAATGCTGCCTATGATCCCAAGAACACCATCTCCACCGTCAAACATGGAGGTGGAAACATTATGCTTTGGGGGTGTTTTTCTGCTAAGGGGACAGGACAACTTCACCGCATCAAAGGGACGATGGACGGGGCCATGTACCGTCAAATCTTGGGCGAGAACCTCCTTCCCTCAGCCAGGGCATTGAAAATGGGTCGTGGATGGGTATTCCAGCATGACAATGACCCAAAACACACGGCCAAGGCAACAAAGGAGTGGCTCAAGAAGAAGCACATTAAGGTCCTGGAGTGGCCTAGCCAGGCTCCAGACCTTAATCCCAAAGAAAATCTGTGGAGGGAGTTGAAGGTTCGAGTTGCCAAACGTAAGCCTCGAAACCTTAATGACTTGGAGAAGATCTGCAAAGAGTGGGACAAAATCCCTCCTGAGATGTGTCCAAACCTGGTGGCCAACTACAAGAAACGTCTGACCTCTGTGATTGCCAACAAGGGTTTGCCACCAAGCACTAAGTCATATTTTGCAGAGGGGTCAAATACTGATTTGAGTTATTTCCCTCATTAAAATGCAAATCAATTTATAACATTTTTGACATGCGTTTTTCTGGATTTTTTTGTTGCTATTCTGTCTCTCACTGTTCAAATAAACCTACCATTAAAATTATAGACTGATCATTTCTTTGTCAGTGGGCAAACGTACAAAATCAGCAGGGAATCAAATACTTTTTTCCCTCACTGTACATGTGCCGTTAAACCATCACCACCCGACACATCTAATTAGTAAGGGCTTATCACGTAAACAAAACGTGCCAATTAGTTGCTACTTCAGCACACGTTTACGCGATCTAACCCCCCCCCCCCAAAAAAAAAAAACACGTGATTATGAATATTATTAGTCGCCAAAGCCTACGTGGTCAACAAACCACTTAAGATCATTCAACAACGAGGCTGTTCGGATAGACGCGGGGTGTCCTCCACTGACTTAGTCCTCCCCCGGTTTAATATTCGGGGAGTTTAAAAAAAAATCTTTATAAACTGTGCAGTCACGTACCGAGCCAGGAAACTCAATGCTAGCGCACTTGGGGGACCGAGCGGCTCTCTGTGAACAATCTCCTGGTCTTTAAGAGCAACCGGTGACGCAGGCGGTGAATCTGCGAGTCCCGTTGCAAGTCAGCCTGTGTCTCTTCCGCAAGCCTATATGGGTTTGTTTACGAGTACGTGAGTCTCTCTGTGTGTCTATGGGTCTCCACGTTGCGTCTCTTGGCACCCAATTGGACGTCTGTGGGCCTACCAACATCCACGTCGCACCTCCGATTAGCACGCTTGGCGACGTACGGTGCGAAAGAAGTTCAACGTAAATGCACGTCACTCTGCATCTCAAACGACAGGGCCGCGTGAGTAACACCACCGCCCGATGCAATGATGCGCCGCTAGAATTTGATACGCGTAATCACAAGGCTCTTTCTGAAGCCCGTTACCTTCACAACTCAACCGCCAGACCGACGTAAGAATACGCAACAACGCATTCACGCAAAAGCCACACAATTATTACCCTCGTCAAGTTACTCCACCGGAATAAACACGCGGCGATCGTAGCCACCCGACTGCGGGGCTATGCCCATTCGTGCCGTGTCACCTCGGGACTTGGTCTGGGGCAGCTGCCCAAATTGGCGGTCGCCTTTTTAAAATGCGTTGAGACGAGCGGGAGGTGACGCACTCTGAGACGACGCCTCGGCGTAGAGAACGCTCCGTCGGACACAGATCGTCACCATCATCAGCCGGGATCGATCCGCTGCTGGATGAAGGCCCCCTCAAGTCGCCACCACACACACAACAATAACCTGGAGGTGGTTGGGAGTGTTGGTGGATCACACAAGAGATTAACCTGTGCCGTGGACAGGAAGGCACAGCCTGCGGGAATCAGTACAGCAAGTAGATTGTCGATTACTGACACTCTCGCACGTGTACATGGAGAGCCCCATGTTGTCAATCCACCCATCCAAGCAACAACCCAGGCTCAACGCTGCTTAGCTTCTGAGATCTAACGAGTCCAGGCGCATTCTCGGTGATGTGATCCTAGGCTCGCGCGGTCTGATATTCATCGTGACCCCTAAACGTAACGGCCACACTGACCCGATGACTCCTAACAAGAGCCAATCCAGTTT